GGAGTGGACATGTGCATATATGTTTATATGCAGGATCGTGAGGGTATGCTTTGCGGCTAGATAGAAATGTTGAACGGTATTTGTGCTTGCTCAAATTTGTTTTACATTTCTTTCCTAACGCATGCCTTGCTGATCTGTATGTTCTACATCTAGCCGCAAAGCTGCTCGAACTGAGAAGGGATTTTGAAATTCCCACCCACCCACCCTGTGTGGTGCTGTCGAACAGCTCTTACGCTGCTCCACTTGTGCCACTGTGCACTGTTCGTCTCTGTATATACGGACACGAAAAGATCAGGTCGCGTATGGACACTGGCTTGGTATTACGTACGTTGGCTTTTCGGTATCCTTATCGCTTTTACACTTTGGGCAGCCGGTGATCATACACGTCTTGCATCTTGTCTGGACTTTGCGACAGCTGCTCGAAGTGTCTTACCGCCAAAAGCAGTATCGGACTCGACTGGAGTGGACATGTGCATATATGTTTATATGCAGGATCGTGAGGGTATGCTTTGCGGCTAGATAGAAATGTTGAACCATCAAGTAAAGAGAACAGTTTCAAGACGTAGGCTAGAATTCGGTGCTGGGAGGGCCTATCAATTTTGAGGGGTGGAGGCCGTACCGGCTCGCAGTCTTAGGGACTCCAAGCCTCTTCAAAATCGCTTTTTCTAGGCCTCAATCGACGTCCGCGGTCCAAAAAATTTCGACTCCAAGCAGAGGCCAGAAAAGACAGGGTGGAGGCCGAAAACTTTTTTGTCGTGTGTGTTCCTTTCTTTTTTTTAGTCCTTATTTTCTTTGCTCTTTTGTCCTAAGCGATATCGTGTGGCTTCTCCTTTCTTCGTGTTGGAAAACGTTGTTTTGATGTTTTTTCGATAACACACTTTGATTTCTTCCGTTTGCTTCCAGCCCTAAAAAGCGATGCTTCTTCTTCTTGTTGTGTGTGTGAGAAGTAAAAGAAGGTTTAAGTTTTTGTGCAGTTGCAAAATTCACGTAGTAGGTTCAAGTTTTTTGTGCATTTTGCGTTGCAAGATTCATATTGTGGCGCTCTTTGTTGTGTTGTTTGATATGTCATGTGTGCGTGCTTCTATTTTTGCAGAGGTCAGAAAAAAGATATTAGCGGCCCAGAAAAAGATCCACAGGTCCGAAAAAAGACAAGATATTTCGGGGCCGAGAAAAAACGGCTTAAATCGCAGCTTTTCTGCAAAACCTGGTTTCACAGTGATTGTGGTCACTCCGACCAGAGTCCATGATGCCTTGAAGGCAGGATTTGGCCTTAGCAACATCAAGCCGTACGCCTTGGATGGAGCGGCACTGACAATGTCAGCTTGGTCCAGCTGTAGAAAGAAAGTCCCACCGCCGCGGCTTCAACGGATGCTCCACCAAACATGCAGTGGTGCGAGCTTTGGCCTTGTCAGGATACGAAGTGTCGAGCCGGTATGAATGGTGTTTGTATCGGGAGAGAAGTTCAAGTGGTTGGGTGCGCATCAAGGATAACCTGTGGAAAGATACGTCCAAACACTAAGAAACCTTTCAAAGTAGATCAAAGGAAGTGGATGTGCATTAGTTTGGACGTTCCATTTCATAGTTGGGCGTTCTGCATAATAGGTGGGAAAAGATAGAAGAACGACGTTTAAGGCAGACCGAATTTCTCGTGGCAAGTTGGCCCGTTCGATCAGCAGTGCCAAAGCGGTTCCGAAAGTGAAATAAAATACAAAACTTTTTCTTTGGAATGATTGCGAAAGTATTTTGAATTTGAGTCTGTCCATGCTTTGTTGGATATTTTGAAGAGTGTTGAGTGGTTTTTTCGGCGTTGGAATTTGGATGCTGACTATGTCTCTACGCAATGTACAATGGTTCTAATCTTCCGTGACCATTTCTCAACAAAAAGCAGGTTGAGCGGAGCTTTGAGTTGAAACAGGGGGAATGCGTGCAAAAAATGATATTCATGTTTGTCAGTTTGTTGCTTGTCACGACGCCAAGCTGAACAGAATCTGTTGCAATTTTGCATTCTTGTCATTTGAATTGATCTGCTGTGCTTAGATCTTTCGCAGTCTTTTTGGATTAGAGTTTATTCATGTCTGCATTCTCGGCGCTGTGCTGCTTGAGCTGACGCTCGTGTTGAGTCGACGGGAGAGAACAGGGGGCGGTGTGAAGAAAGCAAGATTGGTTGAATCGGATCCTGCGGCATTAGCAGTCGCAGTTCCCCACCGGTGCCGCCCACGACCATCAACAGGGGGTAGGGTGAGGGTGCACAAGAGTGTGGGGGCCAGTGCGGTCTTGCCAGCAATGGACCCTGTTCCGCTCGTGGTGATGTCTGTTGAACACAGCTCAGACGCGATTCCAGACTTTGACTCGGTGTTTATGTCCGTCCGAGTCCTGAGGTCGGTCCTGTACCGCTTGATGCATTGAGCACCGGCCCGGTCCTGTGCAGGGACGGGTGCATGGCTTTCGTGGCGAGCCACACAATGAGGACGTGTAAACATGTCCGCGAGGAGTGGCTCCTGAATGACCAGTCGGCGTTGCTTCGAACCTCTTCGCAGGTGCAGCTTCCGAGGCCCGCTGTAGCGATGCCATTTTTTCCGTGGCAGGCGAGTTTAGATCCCGGTGATGTCGTCCAGCTTTCGCGCCGCACACTTGCTAGTTTGGTGTGAAACACCATCCATTCGACCGTGAGCCCGGTGGATGCAGGTCTGTCCGCAGTGCGACGATGGCCTTTATCCACACTGCATAACCTCCATCTGAACCAAGAGGTGCGCAAGGCGCTTGTACATGGCCAGTGTATCATGCTATGGCCTGTGGAGGATGCGCTCCAGGCTGCAAGCACATTCGTGCGTGAGCATGGTCCCGGCTTGATCTTGGTGTGGCTCGGCGAACAAGGGGCCCGCAACATGCACCTTGTCAAGCCTTGCCTTCTCAGGACGACGCCCTTGCAGTTTTCCTTGCAGCCACGCATCCTCTTGGACATCACTCGGGAGACTGGCATGCGCATTGCCGTTGGCACAGCTCCACCACAGGATTGGTCTGAGGGATGGGTAGGCGGATGGGAGGGCCTTGTGTTGTGTTCTTGTTGCGCCAAGCTTCCCAGGACTTGGCAGAATTCGAAGCCTGCGTATCAGCAGCATCTGGGCTAAATCCTGGATGGGCATGTCCTCGCGACTGGCTCTGAAGCTGGTCTTCAAGCTCAGGTAGTTTCAGACTTGGCTTGTGGCTTCAGCGGCTCGGCCAGCACAGAGCCCTTGAGGCAAGGCCTAGAATATCCTAGAATCTAGAATGCTTGGCGAAAACGATGCGTAGATTTAGGATGCACGAGCTTGGAGCCAGAGCGAAAGGCCAGGCTTCATCGGTGAGGTGCCCGCAGAGAATGTGGACGCGCTGGCCGTTTGTGTCGAGGCTCCGATTTCGTGGGAGAGATCACCTCCAGCCGATCTGCATCACAGGCGCAGCTGCGCTCAAAGGCGCCGCTCATGATGGTTGGATCTGTTCCACGAGAAGCCCTTGCACACCTAGATCGTGCTGACTGGAGGACGGGGATGGTGCCGTTCCTGGTTTTGGACTTCAAGTGAGCGCTGCAAGATATGACAGGAAGTGTGCCTTCTTCGACATTCCTGATGACAGCCCGGTTTCAATACAGGAATTGCAGGTGCAGAATGGCTGGCCAAGGGTGAGGGAGCTGCAGTTTTGTCGTTGAAGAGGACCGCGGTGCTTATGTCGGCTTCTGCGCGCCGCCCCAAGCCGCTGATGTGGCCTGGGAGGACGGTCTGAGGGTCGCGGCTTCGAAGTCGGCCTGTGGGTGTGCGTTTCCTGCGAGGACTATCCCGGCCGGCGTCCCGTGAGGAGACCGGGGGCAGGGCTCTGGGCTCTGGGCTCTGGGCTCTTGCTAGCTTCTGCGTTCTGCGTTGGCGTCCTGGTCTGTTGAGGACCGAGGCTTCCTTCCTGGAGGCCATCCGCCGCGTGGCGCCCTCGCGGCTGCTGCTGGCCACCGGCCTGCGCTTCCGCTGCGACCTTCAGGCGCCCGCCAGTAAAAGGGCGCCCAGTCTGCGCTTCTGCGACCGTCGACAAGGCCTTCGGAGGTTCGGGCTTGGGCTACGCCGTCGAGCTCTTGCAGCGAGGCCACGAGCAGAATCGTGACAGGTTGTGACTGTGAGTCCGTCACAGCAGAGACTGTGAAGATGCAGTCTTCCGAGTCAAGGTGCACCGGCACTTATAACACTTAGTCGCACACAACACTCGAAGGGGTACGAAGGACTTCTAAATCCGGATGCAGTGTCGCACAGGATCAGTGGACGAGCTCCAATGCCGGGCGAATGCTGCTGAATTCCTGAGCTATCCGTGGCAAGCACCCAAACCGCCGGAGAAGGCCTGAATGCATCGAATCGACGTGTGGGTATAGGTTTTTCCGAGTCTTTGATTTTGGGGTTTCTTTGGTCTTTGCAGGTCGCTTGAGGTAAGCAACACCGATGCACGCTTTTTGGCGGTGCGTAGCGCTCTGGAACCCTGAGGTCCTACATGAAATCGAGTGTCACTGGTGCGGCAATTTGTGGCTCGGCCGCAGTGTAGCAGGATGTAGCAATTGCCGTGTTTTCTTTGCTGTTATCTGTGCCACGAGGAAACCCGATGGAGAGCACTTCAGCAAGATGGGTCCGCACTCAGACTTAACCTGCACCCTCCTTGCACGGAGACTTCCTGCAGTCACGACAGGCTTTGACTACTGCTCTCCTGGCTGCATCGCCAAACATCGACGAGTTGACTTCGAGCCCAGCACATGTGGTATCGAAAAGTCTCATCATGGCACGGGGTGTGGTGTTCTGTGCCCTTCACGTGGAAGCGCTGCGACGCTTGTCGAAGCCGTGTCCGCCGGTTGTGCAGCCTCGGCCAACCTCACAGTCCGTTTGACTGTTGAGACTGGTAGATGCTGTTGACTTAATCAATGATTCCTAGATGCTGTATGTTCAGACACGACTTACTCCCTTACTCCTTCTGTCTCTATAGACCGCCTTTCGCCAATGTCTAACCCCAGAGCGGCAGTGCTCCAGTGCCCTGGCGGCGGGAGCTCGGAGGAGCTCTCCGCAATAGCACCGCAGCCGAAGCGCGCCGAGAGCATGCGCATGCCTCGCAGGCATCGCTCGCGGCGAAGCTAAGCCTCCCAGTCAGGTGCCGGAACCCAGAGCCCCTGCAGAGCCCGAGAGAGCAGTGACTGAGCGGTGCCTCGCGTCAGAGAGGCCCATCGAAGCCCGCGGCCCAGTGGTCAAGCAGAGTGCAAGACGAGTCAATGTTGCCTGACGCAGCTCGGCTGGCGCACTTGTTCTGTTTGATAGATGTTTGTCTTGCAGGATTGGCCTGAGGATCACTGCGTCCTGCCGGGATGCAGGCGCAAAGCATAGCAGGGACCGCAATCAGAGATGTTCCTATAGGCATGGCCACCATCCGGATCATGTTGATGGGCGATGGATGACGTTTGTGCACCCGAGCTGTGAAGGTTCTCTTTCCTGCCCGCAAAGTATCGGGCTCCCGTCGCGTCTGACCGGCACAGTTGCTGTACTCTGAGCTCCCGGACAACCGTCCGCAAGCCACCCTCCAGGCTCCCACCGATGAAAGTCGTCAAGGCTGTCAGTGAGCCCAAGCTGGGGTCATCACCTCATTCTGTAGCTTACAGCTTCTTCGCATGCTCTGCATTTTTTGGACAGTGCGAGGCTTGGGCGTCGAAAGCGCAAGAGTGCCAAGCGCCAGCATCATGCTCGGACCGTGCACGAGTGAGCAGTGACAGCTTCTGAGACCTGGACGCTGTGTAGTATTCTCGCATGTGCTGGTAGCACAGCAGGGAGCTGCCAATGCCAGAGAGCGTCCCGGGGTCTGTGGCTCAAATCTGGGGCCCCTCGCGAGCTTCCGACACTCTACAAAGAGCAACACAGTCAAGGTGCTACGGCGACTTCTGCCGAGCGGAATTCCGCTTCCCGAACAGCTTGAAGGACATGGGCGGCCGCCGGATTTCATTGGTCTGCGCATGAGTGCAGAGACCCGAGGACATCCAGCTGCTTGACGATGCCTGGACCAGGCCGTGCCGATAGAGCGGCAGACGGTGGTGCGCGGTGTCGTTCAAGCGATGGCACTTGCAGAGCTCTGACCGTCACAGGCAAGGAAGGGAGCTCTGCAGCAAGAAGGTGCTCGACAAAAACAGCGGAACCGGTTTGAAAAGGGATTTGGATCCAATCCGGGCGAGGTATCTCTGTTCTCGGATGTGACCCTGGGCCCTGTGCTCGAGCCAGAGGCTGCTGCATGAGCTTGAAAACTTCAGTGCGGCGCCCGAAGCGGAGGAGCTGGTCGCTTGCTTGGAGCACGATCCGGAGCCGGGAGAGAAGCCGAGAGGCGAAAGAGGCGAAGAGCCGAAGGTCGGCCGCGCCGCGGGGGCCGCGCGGCGCTCGCCACAGCTTTTTCGGAGTTTCGTCGCAGGCCCGCTCGCGCCGGGCTGTGGCAGATCCGCTTCCTGGCCAGGCCGCGGGCGTTATATTTCGGGGGCCTCTGACGGCTTCCTCTCCGAGGTCTGCTTCTCCGTGATCATGGAAGCTCGCAGTCATCCCACCCTTTGCGGCCCGAGCCCTTTCGGGGACCTCAAGGTGGGGGCCGAATCGAGCCGCGGGCACCAGGATGGCTGGAAGCGCTAAGCTGGCGACTGGACCCCAAAGATGCCGTGACCGTGACCAACGCAGCAGCCAAGCTGCAGACGGTGCTTCTCTCAGCTTCTCCTCAAAAAGCCTGTCGGGATATCTCCCCCCCGCGAGGATGAGCAACAAGGGGGTGGATACGTCTCCAAGCGCATGGTTGGTGCCTCTGAGAAGATTCGCAAAGGGCAACAGCGGCTTGTTCTCGGCCTTCAACACCTTTCGCTTTTGCGGAGCTGAGGACCGCTCTTTGGCTGGTTTCAGGCGCGCAGCAACAATTTTTCAGCGGCGACATCTGACTGTGATTGTTGTGCCCATAGGTACAGGCTCAAAGTGGTGCCAGTGTGCCGAACATGCGCGTCAGTTTACAAAATCGTTCATGACGCAGAAGCCTCGGATCTCGGCATGTTGAGAAGCCAATCCTAGCATCCTCCTGCAATGGGCAATGCATCCGGAAGGTCATTAGCATGATCCGAGTGCAGAGGAAGGCTCCGTCGCCGATAGCCCAAGAGCTTTTTTGCTTGCCTTCTGTGGTGTTCCACAAGGACCTTTGGGCAGCGCGGGAGCTGCGGCGAAGACGCCAGGAGGAGGAGGAAGAGAGGCACGGAAGCTGGCCTGGCGCACCGCCGTGAGGAGAGGAGGAGCACGAGCCTTCACCTTCGCCTGTCTCAGGGAGCGAATCAAGCAAGCGGAGATCGAACGCATGCTCGCCTATCAGAGCCAGAGGCGCGCGGCGCTGCACTTTTGTCCTGTCTCGGAGCCGAGCGCTTTGTCACCGTGAACACACACGTCCATCCTTTTGCAGGGCCTCGCGGTCGAGCCCCCGCCCGAAGGCAGCACAGCTGGCAGCTAGTGACGCTAGTGATGGGACCGTATTGCGACGGCTAAAGTTCAGGCTGCATCCGTTATGCTCAGACAGAGCCGGCATCTCAGCCTCTTCGGTGTCAGAAGAGCTCTTCGGTCTGGAGCCGGTGAAGGCCTCTTTCTGGAGCCAGACGTGCAGGCTCTCAGCAGTCCAGGGAGCGACCTTAAAGCGCCTTCAGTTGCCAGGAGTTGCTCCGACTGATCCCCGACTCTCCGAGCGCTGGGACGCTGCTGGGATGCAACAAGATCCTCGTCCTCGCTGTCGTTGTCGGCGTAATCGTAGTAGGAGCAACTTGGCGCTCTCGGCCATGTCTGTCGTGTGAAGTTGAAGACATACAGTTCCTGCAGTGGGTTTCAGGGTTTAAACTTTAGGGCTTAGGACTTCAGGTGCTACTCCGGCAGGGATCGCATTAGGGTCTATCTAGGGTTACACACAGCAGAAGCTTTGTCAACGAAATATGGACATCAACTCTAGTTGGCGAATGTTTTGGGGTTTGAGTTTAGGGTTTAGGACCTGGGGTCCCACGCCCGGCACAAGTGCTTGGAGGTCTTGGGTAGGTTCTGAGCTATGTGAGCACAACAAGTATCTGTTGCGATCTTTTCATAGCATGTAGGACTAGTTCTACTGATATTCTATTCTATTCTCTTCATGGTGTCACAGGGCCTTTTATGATGTTTGGGGCATAGACCTGCTCCTGGCTTTGCCAGAGGCCTCCGGCCTTCCGGCCAATCGCGGAGCCTCTAGGCATCGTGCTGTTTGCTAGGGTCTTTGAGGCAACATGAGTCACGAGTGGGTAGGTCGCCGGAGTTTTGACGATTCTTTATGGTCCGAAGCCTTGAAATTTCGAGGTACAAATCAAGCCCGCGCACTTGAACGGAACACTGCTGTAGATGCGTATCTGCCGGGGTTGGGCATGGCAAGAGGAAGATCGAGGATGCGACAATGAAGACTTTGCCAAGCATAGTACTCTACTCTTCCATCGATCCGGTGTCCGCCTAGGTTGTGGGAAGAGTTTTTTCTTCTTGGGAGTAGGTTTCTGCTCTTAGATGTGGGAACATATCCGTCTGACAGAGCTTTTCCTGGTGATTCCACCATTCCACCTGGGCTCCGGAAATTGTCGCAGGGAGTGCTGCCTTCAATGGACCTCAGGGCCTAGAAAGGCTAGCGTTCACGGTTTACCAGCGCTATTTGGCTGTGGCTATATACTGTTGCGCAGCTGGTGGACAGTTGCGAGCTCTGTCAGATCGCACAGTCCAGTGTCCCGAACCTTTGCCACCTTAGCAGGTGAAGAGCTGGAGACAGAGACGCAGCAACTCCGCCGGTCCATCAGGCGCCGGAGGAAGGGGGAAGCAGAGGCCTCAAGGCGTCTTTGCTTCGTTAAAATCGATCGGCTCTTTCTGCAGCCGTCTTTAAGATACTGTAAGAACAAGGTAAGCAGTCCAGTCGTGGCCGACAGGCAGTATCAGACTCATACCCACTTGGCACAGCACCTTCCAGCTCCAAGCTGTGAGCCTGCGAGCAGCATGAAGCAGCTGCGACAGCACTAGGCTGGGCCCTTTGCCGACTCAAACGCCGGCTCTCAAAGCATCCTTCAAGTGCAGGCAATGACGGATGGCTTTTTGCCGCCACCGACGAAGCCTGTGCCGGGTGCAGCACCAAGCTTCCGGAATCGGAGTTGTACTCTACTCTACTTGTTTTTTTTCCCAGTCGCAGGCTTGGAAGAGTGGAGGCAGCGACTCGAGGCTCTTGGAATGACCCAATTCACGGCTCTCGGTGCTTTCGCTTTTGGGGCGCTTCTCGCTGCTTCCAAGAGGCAGCCTTCCGACGCTCGGCCACTGCACCAGCCTTGGCTTCGCTGGTCCCGGAGTCGACGAGGAGGGGAGGTTTCTGTGCGATACTCCCAAGTTTGACTTTCTGTGACTTTGCACAGGGCCTCGGAGTGTTCAGGGCAAGATGGCCCTGATGGGGCTTCGAGTGCCTGCGAGCAGCTCGACGAGAGCCCGAACTTCGCCGAGGCCGAGGGATCCGAAGAAGACGCTCCTTTTGTGTTTGAAGCGAGATGGCAGTGCTTTCTATATGGTGCGAGGGGCTGCCAGTCCCTGTCCCCGACACCCAGTGGGAGGAGGTCGTGCTGTTAAGCAGCCCAAGCGGCATTTGTCATGTCTGAGTTTTGCAACAAGGACTTTCGTGCAGAGTTGTACCGCCTCGATTTGGAGCGTCTGGAGAGTGAGCAGCGCCTCCAGGCCAGGGGTTCACTGCGGAGATTTCTTTGAAGGCTTTTAGTCACAAGTCTAAGTTCTGGTTTCCTTGCTTCAGGCTCAGCAGCTGGAAGAGTTGGAGAGGCGAGGCTGAGGCTTCCTTTCGGCGGGTCTTGCTTGTGTGGCGGACGCCACCAGGCTACCGGCCCTTCAAGGAGGCGTCAGCCCAGAGCTTCAGCTTTGCAGCGTGCTGAGGGGGCCTTGGGGCAGTTCAACCGAAAAAGGTCAGTGGATGTCTGGGTTTTGTTCTAAGGCCGCGAGTCTGTGCTGGCTTTGAGGTCGGATGCCCGTAAAATGTGGAAGCAAAGGGGTGAGATTCCGTGCAGACGAGAGGCAAGCTCACCAAGAGCTTCGTTCGGAACTTGCTGCCGTCGAAGGCTCAGATGAAAGGCATCAAAGGCTTCCTTTTCTCAATAGCGGCCCGAGCAAGGTCGTGCGAGCATTGCCGGCATCACAGCAGGCTGCACCTATCCCGAACGTGAGCCGATGGAGCTGTTCTGGGTACCTCTCAGACTCCCCGGTTTGTGCAGGATGCGACAACCGGCTGCCAGCTGCTGTGACTCGCGACGTTTTTTAGCATGCCGGTAGACAAACTGCAGGGCTGCTCCTACGCTTTACAGAAAGATCGGATTGGCAGCTCCTATGGCTTGGTTAGACATTCACACATGAAATCCCCAGCAGAGAGCATATGTTCCACATGTGCACAACGTGGCAATGCTTAGGTTACGGCTCAGGTTCAGTTGCTGGGCCGTTGCTAGGAATTACACCCAACAGCTCCTATCCTGGAGTCAGTGTAAGTGTAATCTTGGAAGCTTGATAGTCTTTTGATACTTGGCCACTCTGGTGCCTGGCAGAGTCCGGAGGACTGATTGCGCAGGCGCTGCGAGTCTTAGGCAGCTCCGATCGCTTCCACTCTTGTCTGGCGCGCGCCTAAAGGAAGGAAGCGCTGTTTCACCTGGCAGCACAGGTGGCCAGGGTTTCCGAAAAAGGAGTTGGTGCGCTGCGCTGCCCAGTTCAGCAACGTCCGCGGTCCTCGTGACCAGACTCCTGTGGAGGCAGCGGCGGAAAGCTTTGTTCGAGAGCCTTGGGGGTCTCGAGGAGAAGGATGCATGAAGCTTTCGATTCTCGATGCCAGTTCGTAGGTTGTTAATGCCTGCGTTGCTCAATCATCCGTGTTGTTAACACGGGCGCCTTCAGATGCCTCCAGTTTGCATGTAAATCGCACATAGTTAGCTCGACCTGCATCTGAGAAATGTGGCCACGTTGACAACACAGATGGTTTAGCAGCCACCTTGCATGATAGCTTGTAAGGCTTACACTGGGCAGAGGTCCATTTCAGCTTGGCGCATCTAATTTCTGGAGCGCCGGTGTATCTCGCCAGTGCTGCAAAAAAGGAGCGCGACGATGCGATGTCTTATGTCAACTTCTCATACCTCCTTGGGGAGTTGCATCCAGCTTTAGTGAGGGGCAGGTGTGAATACTTGTGGAAAGCATAAATAGTTACGTGCATTGAGTTGGGCCTGGCCATGCCGTGACCTGCTTCCCAAGTTGGAGTGCTCCGACGGCAAGCTTGATAGCATTTGGAGGTTTCATAGGGCTCATGATGGGGAAGCGCAGTGCACAGGCTGGGTGAAGGTCCATGCTAATTCGATTGTGTCATTCCTGCGGTTCAGTTGATGCGATGACGATGTCATGGCAGCTGGGGCATGCGGTGAGCATGTTTGGGATGATGCGTGGCATGAAGCTCCATTCCGAGCAGAGGACTCGTCGCGAGCGCAGAGCCACGGTCATGGCACCGGTAGGGCTGCACACCCTGCAGGACGAAGAGGTGAAGGACGAAGAGGTGCAGGAGAATGCGTCGGCAAGTGCAGACCAAATCCCAGATGTCGAAAGCTGCGAGCAATGGGATGAAGCTTTGGAACCAAAATGCGAACTGGACCCCTATCTCGCCGACCGCGCCGGCACGAAGGATGAAGAGGCCGAGCCTTCAACAGATGGCCTGACACTTCTCACGGGCGAGCTTCTTTCCTGCTTACATGGCACAGAGAAGAACCCACTGGGCTCGCAGTGCCCGCAGGTCGAAGCTGATAATGCAGCAGTTCTCGCAGCCTCGAGACGGCTTTGGCAGCTCGGGGCCCTCGAACCCGGAGAGCTCTACGGCCAAGTGCAGCTCACGGCCCTAGGAACCTGGATGGCCACTGCGAGGGCGCGTATAGCGCCCTCGGAGCTTCCGTCGCTGTCGCCGGCAGTGTTACGGGCCCTCTTTTTTGGCTCGGCCTGGAAATGCCTCGTGCCCGTCGCGGCTGCGATCGTCTTGCTACAACCGCTGCCTGGCGGCTTGACACCAAACAAGGATTTGAGAAAGCTTTGGCAAAAGGTTCGGAAGACACCTTCTTCCGGCTTGCAGACGTGCTGGTCGGGGCACTTTGTCATGGTGGCTGCTTACTTGAAGTGGAGGGAGTGGAAGGCCCACGACCAGGAGAGACATCGTAAAGGTGATGTCGTCTGGGAAGCGCTGGATGCCAGAGTCGTGGCAATGTGCCGGTATGCCAACGCTGCTTTTGGGTATTGTGGCGATGATGTAGCTGCGGTTCTGGATGGAGAGACGAACATGCAACAAACTGCATCAACAGGAAGAGCGTGGACAGTGCAAGCCATGCTGTGGCTCAGCAAGGGGTCACCAGAAGGTTCAGGTCCAGGTGTTGCAGGTCGTACTAGTTGTGGTTCTCAGACCGCACGGTCTTGTACTTTACCTTTCCTCGCTGAAGTATGTATAAGAACCTAGCCCGCGGGCTCCTTGACATTAGCCTCGGTCGTCTCAGGGGCGATGGCGACGGCAGGCGGGAGTGCGTTCTGGCCGCTCTCTGCGCTGCTCTGGTCCCCCGTCCCGGCGATGGCTGGCGTTTGCATGGCGAGGCCATCGACGGCTTCGAAGTAGAGGCGCCGAGAACCTATCTCTGTGCTTGCAAACAGCCGAGGTTGTTGCCGATTTATTTGTGAACTGTTATCTTATGCCCTGCATGCCCCGCGGTGAGGTGGAGTCAACGGTGAGCAGTGCTCATGCCTGCATTTTCGGGGCAAGTGCACCACAGAGGGTTTCCGAGAAGGAGGTGGAGTTTGCCGGCACCCAGTGGCAACTGAAGCCTGGTCTTGAGGAGTCTCTTGCGGAGGTTCATAAGATTCGTTCTCAGCTTTCCTCGCAGACAGAGGCGATGCTGCAGAGGCTTGCAATTGGCGGCGAAGGGAAGGACGGAACGGACGGAAGGCAAAAAACGCGAAACCCCGACTTTGGCTTCTCCGAGGAGCTGATCTCTGAGGCTCTTGGGTTCCTGGCCTCACCGCGAGGGGACTTCCTTTCTCGCCCAGAGTCAGAGGAGTCGGAGTCTGCAGTGATGCCGGAGGGTGCCGCTGAGGAAGTGGGACTTGGCGTTCTCACGCTTCTGGGTCGAGCAGAGGCCGGGAGCCTATGTGGAGGCCAGGACCAAACCCTGCGAAAGCGCCGCGGCTACAAGGACGCCTTGAGCGGAAGGATGGTGCCTGCAAAGCCGCTGCTATGGCAAGGAAGCGGTGCAAGCAGTGGCGGCGTCAAGGAAGAGCTTCCGGAATCGATGAAGGAGAGGCGGAGGGAGAAACTGGAGAGGCCCGAAGCAGGGGCACCCGAGGTGAGCGAGGAGCGCTGTCTGGAGGACTGGGCGACGGGTCTGGTGCAAGCCGCCCTTCTGGCAGCGCTGAAGCGCCGGGCCGCTGCTGCGGAGCGCTTCGACGTGGCAGCGACGCTGAAGCAGCGGGAGCTCGGTGCCGAGGCCGCAGCAGCCGCCGGCCGCACTCGGGCGTTCAGGCTGCCCCGTGGCAAGGGTTTGTGGATTGCTGCCGTGCCGCCGTGCGATTCCGGCGTGCGATGCAGTTGTGCGATGCTGTGCGTGTGTCACAAATTTTGCGACATGTGCGGTCCGGAGCTGTCTGGAGGCTGTTGAGTGCGCCGAAGCTGGCCTCTGTGGAGCAGCTCAAGGAGCGAAAGCGGAAAGCCGTGGAGCTGGAGGACTATGAGCCACTTGCCGCATTGCCTCCAGGACTCTGAGCTCTGAGCTTCTCCCTGTGACTTCGCTGTTGAGCTTTCAAGGCTTGCCGGGTCTCTCAAGCGTGAGGTCCTGACTTTAGCACCTTGGCTTCGAGAAGAGTGTCCTTGCTCATGAGGCCATGCTGAGCTGCAGGCTTGAGCCATGTTTGTGGGCTCAGGAGGCTGAGATCCAGGCAATGGCGCAAGATACGGTGCCTCAGAGAGAGAGAGAGAGAGAGAGAGAGAGAGAGATAAGCCAGAGCTCGTCTGCGACAGTGGTAGCACTTCCAGTGGTCCAGGCCCAGATGCAAGAAAGGGTGCGAGAACAGGCCGTGCGCTTGGCTGCGGCGATGCTTGGCTTCAAAGGTTCCCATGGTAACCAGCAGGTGGTCTGCATACAATGTGAGAGTACTTTGAGAGAATATGAGAGAATCGAGCAGTCTGGATTTGAGGCCAAAGCATCGAAGGAGGCTTCTGAAGGCTGCAGGTGCCGATGCGCTGAGGGCAGGTGATGGGTCCGAGAGTGACCTTTGGATCGAGGTGGAGCGACATCTTGAGCAAAACGCCTCTGTGACGCGTCGTGCCTGAGGCCTTCAAGAGATGCTAGTTCCAATGCAGGCTTAAGCTGCAGGACTGCAGGTGAAAGGCAAGCCTACAAAGCCGAGAGGCTCTATGGAAGTCTTCATGTCCACACTTTGGAGTGGGGATTTCGAAGATTCAGTGACTACTTTTGCCTCAGTCATAAAGAAAGTGATTCGAGAGTCTAAAGCCGCTGCCATGGTGCTGCGTCCAAGACACGGCGATGTGGGCCAAGAGTTTCCTGCCAGGCAAAGGGATTTGTTGTCTTGTACTAGTAGCGAGCCCTAAAGAGCACCGAAGGGAGGCCCACAATTGCCCCAAGTGGCCCAGCGTACAAGGACACCCTGATAGATGCACAACGGAGCAGCTGCAGATGCGGTCGCACTGTTTACCTCTGCAGGGCCTTTATCAGTTTCTTCGCTTAGCCGACTGGTCAGAAGCGCCGTGGCGGCAGCTCGGGAGAGAAGAGATCAGCACGGTGCGGTTCTCGAGCCTTGCTCTGAGGGCCGACGCGAAGCGAGCATGCAAAGGCGGACGCGACGGGAGATGAGGCGCCGGGGTGCTAGAGGTAGAGGTAGACAGTGTTTTTGGGTTTGATGGTCACGAGTCACGAGTACCAGGTTCCGAACACGGATCCAGAGCGATCCGACGGACCTTTGGAGGGACTGCAGAGCTCGTCACCCGAGCTGCTACAAAGGCTCACGCATCTTGGGGGAGACGCGTGGCGACATGCGAAGTCTTGGGAGCGGTGACAGTCTTGCATGAAGAGCGCAAGACTGGAGGCATGCTGACGATCTCCCTGCACCGATCCTGCCTGAAGCCGAAGCGCCCGTTTTCCAGGACCTGAGGGATCACGTTCAAGGGCTGGTACCTACAATGACGATGTTTTGACGTTCACAGGACCTTGTCTCCTCGCGAGTCCGAGGGCGACCGCCCCCAGCTTGCCCAAGTGGCCCGGCATGGGAGAGACACCTGCAATGGAGAGGGGGGGGGGCTTGAGACCAGCGTGCTCAGGAGCCTTCAAGATGATCACGTTCCGGAAGCCGTGTGCCTGCCTGCTACTTATGTGAATCTGCGTCAATCAGGGCTTGATGCCTCACGCAGTCGAGGTGAGGCCTGCGATCCGAAGGAGCTAGTCGAGAGGCGGAGCATGCGGGGCACGAGTTTCCGTCGGAAGATGTTTGCAATTTTCGGCTTAGAGAGAAGGCGGAGGCCCCTGCTGGACCTCACCGGCGACGCCCTTCCAAGCTTTGGCAGGCGGCTGCGACGACAAGGCCTAGGGTCCCGATAAGGTTCAGCGTCTGACTGGAGGTCCTCCTCCTCGCCGCAGCTCAGAACAGAAAGAGCCCCTTCGAGCCGCACCCGATCGCTTTCTCCGCGGGCCGGCGCGGCCCGTGCGGCGCCTCTTCGCTCTGCGCCGGCTGCAGCCTTGGACGGGACGGCCGGACGGATTACGAGCCTTTCGAGCCTTGAGGTTTATTGCGACTGGAGTTCCCTCTACGTTCTTCATGGCCAACCGGGCATTCTACAAGCTCAGGCCCGCAGAATCAGCAGACCTGCAGGCCTGATCACGCCTGCATGCTGTGCACCCGCAGGCTTTGCGCCGGCTCCGAGATCACCAGGAGGCAGAGAGACGGAGAGACATATTCTGCCAAGTGTCCTGCCCTATCGTGTCTTTAGGACACTTTGCTCCAACACGGGGCGTCGCGTTCGCCTACCGTTTGGGAATCGCCGTCCTCGCGCAGTGCGGGCAAGAGCTGCGCTTACCAGGCGACGCGACTCGTCCGCAGCCAGCGGGAAGGTTTAGGACCTTTAGGACTCCAGGGCACAGGGGGACCAGGGTCTGGTCTGAGCCGAGAGCGCCCACAGGAAGGAGGAGCTTCAACGTCCGAGCCCCACACCGCGGACTCCTCGCGCGAAGTCGGCAGCAACTTTGCGGCGACAGCAAAGCGCTCCAAGCATCAGGCGACTGTCAGTCGCATCCCTTCATGTGATGTTCTGTGTCCTGCATCGCAGACCCTGGAGCGACCGGAGCGAGCCCAGCGAGCAGAGCCGGCAGAGCGCGGGAGCTGCCCGGAGCACCCGGAAGGACAGGGCCAGGGCGGCCAGGGGGGCGGCCAGGGCCTCTAGGCCTAAGTGAAAAGAGGAGAGGAGCGCGGGACGACGGGACGCGCCCTTCTTCGAAAGGAGCCCGCTCGTAGCTGCTCCGCTCGCCGACGCTGCGAGGGTCAGGCGGAGGAGCCGGCTCAGGCTCTGTTGGAGGAGGCCTTTCAGCCGGCGCTTCACCGACACCTTGAGCACATGATGTGCCTTGCGTCCGCTGGCAGGAGAAGCGAGATGTGACAAAGCTTCCATTTACTTTCGAGACCATGTTCGGTGCGACAGGCAGCGGCCCGTTCAGAGAGTGGCAGATGGGTGCTCGCTCTTTGTTCAAAGCCCTGCTTCAGGCGAAGAAGTCTCACTGGAGAGTCTTGTCTGAACGGATTTGGGCAGCGGCGCTTGCCCCTCCTCATGAAACTGAAGCATCAAGGAATCGGGAGACCGTTGAAGCCATCCTCATGGACTTGCACTCTGTGGCACATCCTCTCTGTGAGCACTTTCGAATCAGGCGATCTTTGTGCGACATGTTTTCGGTTGCACGGTTGATGTCGGGCGGGCGTATGCCTGATGCAGGTATGACTTCCTGCTGGAGACCCTCGGCACCGTACAGATACCGATGTAGGCTGCGCTGAGTGGATGAACAGATGGCTGCACGTGAAAGCTGCTTGGGGCATTTAAGAGCACACGATTCCACTACCGAGGCAGCACTGCCAGGAGCGAAAGGCAGGGGTGGCGCGCAGGACGCCCAAGTGGATGGGGGGTGAGGAGCGCCGCCAGGCCGCACCTAAAGAACTTCACAATCCAAGCGACATGGGATAAGACGGTTTGCGTTGCCTCCTTGACCGAGGCTACCTCACGACTGTTCGTTTGCGGGTGCGCAGGCATCCTGCCAAGGGTGATCCGCAAAAGGCGCCCTCTAGGGCAACTTGTTCACGGCTCATGCCTCTCATCGTATGTGCTTCCAGGACTTCATTGGAAGAGGTGCTCAGATGCTCGGTTCGCACCTAGAGTACTAGAGGGCCAAACGTCAGGAGCTCAAGCTCACCATGCTCCTGGTGTCTTGCAGGATTGCAGTCCTTCTCCACGAGCTTGCACATCTCCGGCACATGAACCATGGCGCCCACCCCAGCCAGGAGCAACAGCTCAGCTTCTTGCATGGAGAGCGCTTGAGATCCAAGGTGAGGAGTTCATGTTCTTCCTGAAGGAGCGGCGCCCTCGCAGCGAAGAGACGTCCTGTAAGCCGACCATTCCATCTGCAGGACATCTTCATGGAAGCCGCGCGGCGGAAGTTGCTAGATCCGAAACTGTCGAACGAAGCTTGTCCTGGAAAGAGCGTGCATGCGTGGCCCGGGTGGCCGGCGCTTTATTCTTGAGTCTGTTCCTTTCAGGAGTTGCCATCCTGCCGTGCTTGGGAGAACCTGATCTATCAGACAGGCAAGCCGCAAGCCGCATGGGAGGCTTCTGAATTCTGGATTCTGGCTTTTCGGGGTGCAGGTGGGGATGTCGCAGAGGAGGAGTTGATGCGGCTCTTTGACCCCAGCGGGGATCCCACCAGCTGCGCCACGCCGAGGACGGTCTTCAGAGCTGACACTTCAATGTTCCCACTTGGCGTGAGACTTCGCAGGAACGGCCCTCCTGACCTTGCTCCAGAGATCTCAGGGATTCCGAGATCTGCTAGCCAGACGGGCTTTGGCGGTTTGGGGCATACAGAAGAGGAAGGGGCCAAAGAGGTCCGGCTGGAAGGATCAGACAACGTCTCGGATTCAGCTGTTCCGAATCCGGATGACCGGCAAAAAAACCTGCAAGCACCAGGTTCTTCAAGTCCAGAGGATCAGCACACTGATGCTCTGCCCTCGAAGAGGGAGGAAAAGGCGGCGAAAGCACACAAGGGGCCTCTTGACCGGTCCCGAAAGCCAAAAGAGAAGAAGACCGAGCTCCAAGTTCAAGGCCAGACCAAGCCCGGCCCTGGCCCTGGCCAGCCTCCCAAGGAGAGCAAGCCGAAAGCGCAGCCGAAAGCGCGGACGAGTCCAAGCAATCGCGACAGACCCGTGCCCGCCGCGGGGAGGCAGGGCGCTGCGCGCGCGGCGCGCCCCTCGTCTGTTCCGCCTGCACCTGAGCGGCTGGTTGCGAGCGGCAGTCGTCGGCCGTCGGCTGTGCCTTCTGCGCTCTCAGGTGCGGAGGTGCCGAGTCAAAGCGGAAGCCGGGCGGAGTTTCCGAAGAGGGTCAGGTCCAGGCCAGTTGGCTTCGGGATTCGGGTGACACCAAGCCAAGCCTTTGCCGATGCTCGAAAGGCCAGCCGAGGCCGGGTTCTGAAACCGAAGAGGACCCAGCTTCCTCGAGGGGAGCTGGCATGAAAGCTATTCAGGAGAACTCAAGCGAACTAGAGATGGAGAAGTAGCCAGAAACGACTCAGAAATGTTTTCTTGGATAGCTTTCTAGGGAGTGTCTTAACTCTCTGATCCTCGGCCAAACAGACGATGCAAGAGCTCAAGTACTCATTCAGGATTGATAGCTCCAGGGTATGAAGCCAGGCAAGAAGACTTCGGAGCTTTCTTGCCGTTCTGCAGCAGAGTTAACGAACATCTGGAGAGTTCTGGATGACTGCGCTGTAAGATCTCTGAATGCTTGCGGCAAATTTATTGGGAGGTATTGCCGTCCATGATTGGAGGCAGACTCGCCTCTTAGTTTATGCTACCTGGGCTCCATCATCTTAAGGATGCGCGGGGCTCGCTTGGTGGAAGTCTTCGAAAAAGCGCCGATTGCAAGTGTTCTCTAGATCTGGTCGGAGAAGGATGCGTTTCATGTCGCTTCAATTTAGCACTGGATTGTCCCCGCAGCTGCGTGGAAGCTGGCTTCTGGACACTGGCCTTTGGCGTCGCCATTGATGCCGGCCAGCTTGTCTCTGCGATGGGGCCTGATGACAACTGGCTCCAGCTTATGCTGGACATAACGCCCGCACAATGTGGACCGACGAGACTGCGGCACCGGGCAGATAATGCGTTTATGGTGACTATGGGTGCAAGGATCATCCAGATGTCCGGAGCTCACAGCAATGACCACACCGCAGCTGCATGCCTCGCCCTTGTGCAGCGACTTTTTGAGGCAGTCCGGGTTCGCAATGTTGGAATCCGCGTATGCCGCAGTCTTAGTAGATGTAATACTCCGCAAAGCTGGAAGGATCCTGTGTCGAAAGGAATGTTTTGTTTTTAAGGTTCAGCCGAATGGGTCTGCCAATATCATGATGCTGCTTCCTGAGTTTGGCTACGGCATGGCTCAGCTGCGTTATCGATACGTGTCGGAAAATTGAACTGAGCCAAGGAAGAACATGATGGACCTATTTGTAGGTGCAGTCGCGTACCTCTTGTGGGGTTACGAGATTGCCCACGGGACCACACACGCCACGTCCTTCATGGATCCAGGTTCTTGGCAAGCAATCCCTCGATGCCAAGATCTCAATTGTAAAAGAACCGGTAGCCGGAACCAAGGTTTGGACTTTTCTCATTGGTTTTGCAGTTTCTCATATGCCCGTCTCTCAGACCGGGGCTTCCCACGACTGTTCTGCCGAAGACCCCAAACCAAAGCTCACAAAAGGCGACCACGTCGGCGACAATCGACAGTGGAGTCCGGAGCCCCAGAACCAGTGCGACAGTGCGACAGGGCCTGCAGGGCGTTAGGCTTCACACAGTGGGAAGAGCTCTGGTCTGGCGTGATGCAGTCACAACAAAGTTCACCAACCGTTCACGACACCTGCCCGAAGTGAATACAATGAAGACCCTTCACCTCTTGTTGGGACCGCGAGCATCAAGCATAGGCTAGAATCAGAATGCCGAATGCCGCTGTGCGGCGATTTCGAAAGCTTCGGTGGGTCCGGAGTGGCAGGCGCTGGCAGGGAGGATTTCCTTCTGGGCCTATGTTATCCTGTCCACCGTCATGACAGGCAGGGGCCTGGGGCCTTCAAGTGTGAATGAGACATGTCCACGGTTCGTCATGTTCGTCTCATGTTTGGAGGCTTCACATATCCATTGGCAGCTCGATGGTGCTGGAGTGGCGGGTGGCTGCAACAGATGGGCTTCGTTGACTTCGCAGGCCACACCGGCGCGGTTTGAAAGCTAGGTTACGGCATGTTTGCCATGCCGTCAGCCGCCACGCTGATCGCCCGAGCGCCCGAAGGATCTGCAGTAGTCCACATGATCGGAGCGGTTAGTGCCCTCGCCGTGTACTCGGACGCCAGAAAGAGCGCCAAAGCTTCGGCCAGGCTAAAGTCCGGCGGGTTCCATCAAACAGCCCTGAGCCATCTGTCGATGTTTCTCTGAGGTGGCGGCCTGTTTCTGCGGTCCTCGCATCGGCCGTTTTCCAGATTACCGATGCTGGCGGGGCCTTGGCCGACACTTCTTCATGGAGAGGTACGACTCCGAGTACTACCAGGTTCCGAAGGATCGCTTCTGAATAAACCAGGGGCAGGGCGGCTTGGCGGCTCAAGAGGGGTGGGATTTCGGTTCGAGAGTGTCCAGGAGCCGACAGAGAAAAACCTCTTCCGGCCGCTGCTTGGCAGCACAGCCATGCCAGAGCGACCTGTTCGGGTCCTCATGCCTGAAGGCGCCCACTGCCGCCTAGAAAACCTATTCAAGTCTGTATTTCTCCCAGAAGACTTATCCAATTCTGTATGACGAAGGTTTGTCAAATGCCGCCATCCTGTCCAACTGCTTTTTGGTACCTGGCTGCTTCTGGTTGGGTTCCTGGCCTTCAATCCAGCCTCCACCTTGGCAGTGACGCAGGACGACGGGATCTCTGACCATCACTCTTTTCAATCCCTAATCCCATGACTGCAGAGATGCGAGGACTCGGACTTGGTGATTGCACGTTCCTCCGTGTGCACATTGCTTGCAGCTGCTGGTGGTGGTCTTGGCGGCATGCTTTGGTCCATGGCCACAACTAGAAGCAGTGTGGTACTGGTTCCAGAGGTCAGCAATGCTGCAGCTTGGAAGTGTTCGAGCATCTATTTTGAAGGGGGGGGGCAATGTTGCGGTGGCTGTTGCTGGCTGTGGTAAGGACATCGTTGCGTAGCTTGTTGCTGTCTCGTGTACTCGTGCGGCTCCACCACGTAGAGTCAATCAGCGTAAAGTATCTGCACCTGTTCTAGAGCTGCAGGAAAGTCCAACAAGTGTTTGGGAGGGTTTAGCATGTGGATCTGCACTGCATTGCTTTCGACTCGAGCCGAGGTCATAGCTGCGCTGGTGGCCAGCTGCGCTTGCTGCAACATCGTCTCGCCGGTCATTGCGATGTTTGTTGGATTTGTCGGAGCAGTGCTTGCCCTGCTTTGTGAAGAACTTCTGATTCGGTTGCACATCGATGATCCTGTTGGGGCCGTATCGGTGCACGGACCTCCTGGGGTGTGGGGAGCCCTGGCCGTGGCATTCTTTGCCGAGCCGAACTGCCAAAGTGACTTGCGCGGTTTGTTTTTCGGCGCTGGGGAAGCCGGCTGGGAGCTGCTGGCCGTCCAGCTTTTTGGTGTAATTGCCATGGCCGTGGCTTAGTCTGAAGTCAGGTCTTATTTTGCATTTGCTCTTTCTGGAGGTTTAGGCTGCAGCGTGGCAGCTGAGTATGAGGCCATGTCAGCTGCTGTCACCTACATCACCGTGCTTATTCTCGACCGCTCCGTTGGCTTTCGTTGCAGCCGCGCCGCTTGGCAGACTAGCTTTGCAGCTTCGTCGTCCATCTTCCCGACCCGCAGAAATTGCAGCTTTCCAGGAGGTCATTTCTGTGTTTCATCCGAGGCTTGCGAGCTGATCGGGCTGGACTCCTGGAGCTCAGTTCAGCTGCATCGTTAAGAAATACCTCAGAGGTAGAAGCGATAAGCTAAGTATTGCAGCAGCATGACCGATTGACGAGCTTGTTTGCTTGGATTGACAAGGACTTTTGGGAGCACCAATTCGACGATGGGAGCGTGGCCGGTGACAACCCAATGAAGAGGTCTGCTTTGTTGATCAACGGGGTGGGTGTTGCTCACCGGTCTGGGTTTGTGCCAGGCATGTTGAGTACGAGTTGCCAGGATGTCGAGTTTCCGCAAGACTTTCCACAGAGCATCTTCCTGCTGCTATTGTGGCGGCGCTCCAGAAGTGGAAGAAGACTCCCCCGAGCCGCCTGGGTCCACGAGCACACCATCCAAGGTGGCAAGCACCAACTTGGTCTCTGTAGTGTAGTGCTCGTATCAGCTTTAACAAAGACTTCTTCTCTTCCTGCTGCTACTGCATTCTCTCGGAGGCAGTTGCCAGTGCTTCGGCGGATTTGGATCACATGGAGATGTCAGTGAAGATCCGAGCATTGGAAGCCAAGATCGAGCAGCTGACCATGGCTTTGCAGGCAGGAGTTACCTCGGAGGATGTCTTCGGTGGGGATATCTCCCAGTCCTTCCGTGCGGCGTGCATCAACGCATACGTGGACAAGATGACAGAAGGGCCATCGAACTCCCACCGCACTCACCGCGCTGGCCAGGCTGACCGCACTGACCAGGGCCATCAATGCGTGCCCGCTGAAACAGCCACGGCTATGTGCGATACACACGAGGGGAGGGTTTAATTCACATCGGTCGATCACACTGGGGTAGGACTGGCGCACCTTTGAAAAGCAACCACTTGAGCAGATCCTTCCGCTGACGTGAGTCCGTCCCCCCAGTCGTGTTGTTTGTGCTGTGCTCAGATTGTGCCCTCCTCTTTTACCGCTGCGTTTTGATCTCGGAGCTCCTGCATCTTTTTGTGGCTGGAGGCTGCTGAGCAGACGGCCGAGAGAAATTTTAAGTTTTCAGCTGGCGTCGTTGGTGTTAGCTCAAGTTCCATGTGGACACCTCCACCTCAGCCTGCAAAACGGTCGAAGACGACAGGCTGTGCGTTGACGAGGGAACAGGGCTGGGGCAAAAATCAAGCGCAGGGAGTGCTGTGCAAAGCTGTCATTGCCAGGAACTTGTCGAACAGAGGCCTCACGTTGCTTTGCATTCCGCAGAGGGGATCAACATCTAGAAGGCTTTCCTCCATACATCTGGGGCACCTCCGACGATGTTGGTGCCTCGTCGGCATTATGGTGACATGTTGACATGTTGCGGTCGGTGTATCCCTCCGCAGTCCCACTTTGTCCCCAGGGCCTGCCAGATGATCGATGGGTGGAGCAGATGAGCGCGCAGGCAGCGCGGAATGCAGACATGCGAGAGCTATAGAGCATGGTGTGCGTAGTGTATGCCGGCCGTAAACGGCTGCCAAACGTCAGTGAGCGCCATGCATGAGAGTGAAGCAGAGCACAAGCGCACCAGCATAGCAGAACAGCACAAGTTGACTTGAGGCGCTTCCCACCTGCCAGCCCTTTCGCTTGCGGCACCGTGCGGATGTCGCTTTCATCGTCACCATGGGAGCGCGCATCATCCAAATGCTACTCGCCTCGACCCTGTTCCATCACAAACCTCCGTACGAGCCAGATCACATTTTCATTTTTTCTGTGGGACTTCAAGCCCAGGCAATCTGGCTTCGCGATGCTGGAGTCTGCATACGCCACAGCCTCTGTGACGGCAGCATCAGGTGGGTGAAACCACCTCTGCGAGCCCAGGCTCAGCCGAACAACTCGGCCAATATCATGATGCGAGACCCCTACTGAAGTGCTGTACAATGCCTGCCACATTTCTCTGCCCACAGTTTAGTTTAGTGCAGTACATCAAGGAAAAACATGCTGGATCTCTTCATCGGTGTTCTGGCCTTCTACTTGTTTGGCTATTGCATTGCCTACGGAGACACACATGACGTGGGCTTTGCTGATACGGGTGGGCACCTCTGCGTTTCTACCGATTACCAGCCACTTGGTGCAAAGGATTGTCTGTCGTCGGCTCAGGTTACGACTTGGCGCATTGGTTTTGCAGCTTCTCTTACGCGACCACGGCAGCCACTATCAACAGTGGTGTCCGAATCTCAGCCTCAGCAAAGGCCGCTCCTCGTACCGGCTGAATTTCAGCTTCTCACAACGAGCAGGCTCTTGCCGGACGGGTGGCCTTCTTCCCGTACTTGGTCTTATCGACAGTGATGACAGGCAGGTTCGGGATCAGGCAGAAGCAGTACCGATAAATTTTGCAGCAGTCGGAACGTGCAGAGCAGTCAACCTCTAACTTCGCATGTCCTACCCTGTCTGGGGCTGCGAGGGGCCTGTAACGTGTTGAGTGATGCTCGTTGTACGAGGTCAGGCAAAAGCCAGGAGTGCGCTGCCTTCGTGCAACGTCCCCCTGAGGTGTCGTGTACCCGATCTCCGCGCGCCTCGTCTGGGGCGGCGGCTGGCTCCAGCAGATGGGCTTCGTCGACTTTGCAGGCCGAGAAAAAAAGACGGATTCTTCTTTTGTGAGAAGTAGTAGCAGTTAGTAGCAGCTTAGCAGACTTAGGCTCGGCCACCGTTCACTTGGTCGGGGCCGTCAGCGCCGTGGCCAGGGCCCAGAGCAGGGCCTGGCCATCAGCGCGGTTGATGTGCGCATGGAGTGTTTTGGGTGCTTTGAGGTCGCCACGTGCTTCGTCGGCCCACGCATTGGGCGCTTCAAGGAGTACCGTGCGTGGAGAGCGCCCTGGAACGTGATCTTCCTAGAGAAGAACGACGACAAGTACTACCGGGAGCCCGAGGACGCTCGTGGTGTTTTGGGATGTTTTGGGCTTGGGGTCGCAACTCCGAAGCAAATAAAAAACGAAGCTGCCTCCACCTCAGGCGCCTGTCGAGAAGAAGGTCTTCGTGCCTTTCCGCCGGTGCAGGCACCCAGTGCAGCTGCTCTTCGGCACCTTCCTCCTGCCTCTCGGATTGAGATACAAACCTCCACGAACTGTGCAAGTTTTGGGGAGACATGGGGGAAAGCTTGAGGCTCGTGGGATTCCTGGCCTTCAACCCTGCCTCGACCTTTGCCACCACAGCCGACAAGGACCTGACCGTTGCCTACAGCTCTGCTCGATCCCCAGCCCCAATCGTCATGGGCCTCTTGGCCCCTTCCCCGAGTGAGAACAGCATGTCCGCTCAGGTCACGACGCTCTTGGCTTCAGCGGGAGCGGGAGTGGGAGGCCTTCGGGTTGCCGAGGGCATGCCCGTCTACACTGCCCGACAAGAAGCGTGCTGTGTGCATGTCAGGCATGCTCTTCTCCGTCGTGTCGGCACGGGCAGCAGTGGTGCGAGTCCCTGAGCTGACGAATGCCGTGGTCGGAGGCACAGTGCGATAGCGAGCGAAAGAACCCCAGAAGCAACCGCATCCCACATGTGCAGGCTTGGTAGCCAGCTGCGCATGTTGCTCGGTCATCCCCATTCCGATAGCTCCGCTGGTGGGGTTCGTGGCTGCCCTGCTGACATTGAGCTTCGAGGAGTTGCTCGCAAGGTTCCAGATTGACGATGCTGTTGGCGCTGCCCCTTGGGAAAGCAAGAGACAGCAAGAGATTCCTTCAGGCCTTTCGGACTTTAGGTGGGGAACCTCGTCCACCGGGCCTTGAGCCAGATTTTTTTCAGGTCGCTGCTCACGGCCCAAGTGGCGCTTGGGGAACGCTGGCAGTCGCTCTCTTCGCAGATAAGCACTGCGGCGATAATCACGACTATTCCGGTATCTTCTTTGGGGGCGGCGATGCAGCTTGGCGCCTTTTGGGCGTGCAGGCGGGACAGATACAGGATAGCGCTTCCCGTCTCTTGCCCTAAATTCTACCATCACGTGCTTGGGAGCTTGAACGTGTGTTGTTGTGTACGTGTTCCGTTGCTGTGGCTTGGCACATCATGGCACTTGGGTATTCCATCCTCTACATCGTCACCCAGGCAGAGAAGTCACGGAAGAAATAACACAGAAACCGCAAGCTTGCTTGTGTGCCCTCAACTACGGGAGCAAAGCCTTTGAGTATGCACGAGCAGGAAGTGAATCTTCTCTGGATTTTTTGTTTGCTTGACTACCTGCTAGGCACTTGGCATTTTGGTGCTCATGGCCATTTCCCTGACCTCCACCTACTTAGTCGTGATGTTGGTGGACCTCCTGTTTGGATTCCGTGTCTCGCGGGCCTGCGAGCTGATCGGCCTGGACACCGGCCGATTTGTTGTTGGGCTTATATCCGACATAGGATATCATTGATACAAGTATATGTAAAGTTTATAGCATAAGCATGTTACATCCTAGCAAGAGCAACATTGTGACAACCGCCTCTGTGAGGACTTCTGGGAGCACCAATTCGACGATGGCAGCTTGGATGCCGGCAGTCACAAAGCCACGCTCTATGGCCTCTCGAAGATGCGCGAAGATCTCAGTCGCCGATCTCGGTACCTGGAGGTGTCCCCGAGAAAGTGGTGGACCCTCCCCAAGAGCCTCTCCGGTTCTTCGTCTGCGCCTGGGGGCCTCAGCGAGGCCTCCACCGCCGGTACCGATGCGGAGCAAAGCACGGCGGCTGCTGAGGGACAGGCCTTGGCTGGCTCGGACCGAAAAATGGAGGAGCTGATGAGGAAAGTCCAGGCCTTGGAGCAGCAGATCTCTCTGCTCACCGTGGGGGCCTTGAGGAATGCCCAATCAGCCGAGCCCGGGACCTTCGAGGACATCTGCGGCCGGGGCGTGCGAAGCGAGATCTGCATTCCGCCGTCGCCCACGGAGCCCAGCGCGAGTGAACCCAAAGCACACAAAGTCGTTCCTTAAAGGGAGCAGAAGCTCGACTCTGCTTTCAGCTCTGCCTCCTTCGGCTTGCAAGGCCACGAGCACTTGTATGGACCGGAGGACTGGCAAAGAGTTTCTTCCAGCGGCACGTTGCTTGTGAGTAGCTTTTTGGAATTCGTTTGCATGTTTGCGACAGGCGACCTTCCTTGCTACCCCAGGCTGGGCAGCAAGCCGGGTCTCAAAGACACGACGAGGTTCGGAGCAGATTTTCGGGTTACTTCCCAAGTCCCAAGCCTGATGGTTGGCTACCTGGCGAGATCTACCAAAGATCAGTCATCCGCTGGGAGCCTCCTGGCCGTCGTGCGCTTTTCTTCGTGAAGCCTGAGCTCTTCATAGTCTCGCCATCGGATGGCGAGGATCGGCACAAGCCCGACCATGGACTTCACTCGTACTGCAAGCCGCATAGTGCACGCCGCATAGTCGTGTGCAGAGTTTGCGGCGTGAAGACGTTTCTTAAAGGCGGTCCAGGTCTCTGATGTCATGTAAACGAGCAGAACTAGCCAGACAGTGCCACATCGGTTAAGTGGGTCGTTGCAAATGCCGGGCGATGGAGTCGCAGCCGGGGCCCCTCAAAAGCAGGTGCCAGGCCAATGACCCCTGAGACGTCTTCCTGCTGTACAGCACTGGGCGCATCATCAGCCGGCCAGTGCTACAAAGAGAGAGAGAGAGAGAGAGAGAGAGAGCTGAGTCACTCAAGGCCATACGTCAGCTTGCTCGAGTTTCCGTTTTGTGGCGTGCTTTCGCACCGTCATAGGTACCACTAGGAGATTTTAAGGCGAGACTCGTCCTGAGTGCAAGAGTTAAACAGAAAGTCGAATAGACCCCACCCGTACCAGTCCCGCAATACGAGCAGTGCAGATTTTTGTGGGTTGTTGTTGCTGGCTGACGAGATGTAGTAGGCTTTGATATTTTTGAAGGTCGTGCTGCCGTAGAGAGCACAGGGCACCGGTTGCCCCATTGGCATGTCAGACACTTTCCATTTCAATAGAAGAATTTCAAGTGTTTTAAGAATGTTGCTTTAGAAAAACCAAGATATGTGATGGACAGTTGTCCTTTTGAATTTGGTTGTCCAGACAGCGCTATTGGCATGGACAGTTCAACTTTTGCGAGAGCCATGGACGCGTAGACAGAGCACCCAGCACAGCTCAACTCATGCGACAGGCATGGACGCGTAGAAAGATCACCCAACAGAGCTTAACTCATGCGACAGGCATGGACGCATAGACGGAAGACCCAACACAGCTCATCTCGTGTGGCAGGCATGGATGCATAGACAGAACGCCTGACACAGCTCAACTCGTGCGACAGGCACGGACGAGTACACCGTACACCCAGCGCCGCTGAACTCGTGCGACAGGCATGAACGCTTAGACAGAACACTGTAACAACAGCTCAACTCGTGCGAAAGGCATGGACGCATAGACAGAGCACCCAGCACAGCTCAACTCGTGCGAGAATGAACACCCAACAAAGCTCAATTCATGCGACATGCATGGACACATAGATAGAACACCCTGGACACCCAACAGAGCTCAACTTGTGCGGCAGGCATGGATGCGTAACTTAGGGTCTTGGCCTTATAAGCTTTCAGGACCCAAAATCGCACGCATGCCTTCCTCCACCAGTGAAATTGCAGTGGCGATAGGCGTCGCGGGCCTCATCCGCCGGGTATCAAGTTTGTTTTGAGCAAACTTGAGTTACTTCCAGCATCCTCACGTTTAGCAGTTTAGGATGTCTTGAAAGGTCGGGAGTTCAGCAATAGGCGTAAAACTGTTGACCAGTGCGTTCCCTGGTTTGGTGCCGGCTCCATCATGGCTCAACATGCATCATCCGAGCATCAGCTTGTGCACGAGGCACCTTTATTGGACTATCCTGACCGGGTGCTGACACCAAGCTTGCCCACTTCCGGTGCTGTATATTGGCTCGAATTTCATCGCTCTAGAGGTCTTCTGTGCATGGCGAAGAGCTACCAGGGGTTTCGGTAGGTCGGACGTCGGGACGCGCAAGTCGGCCGAGAGATGTTGGTGGCATGTTGCACAGTGCTCAACACACAGCAAGAAGCTTATATGATATCTTATACTAATCTGTTAGATTAGATGAGATAGGTTTAAACTATACCGACTATACCACATTATTCTTCCGGTTGAAGTCATGACTTCGTCTTGAGCCATGGATCGCCCCCAGACAGCTCCAGCCAAAAAGACGTCAGCCATCGCCAGCGGCCCCACAGCACCTCGCCAAAATGCAGACTGATTGCAGCATCTGATGCTGTGACATAGTATCCCGCAATGTGGTAGGTCGAGTCCGCGGACTTTTCTGGCAATTCTGACAGCTTGGAACATTGCCTCGCAGAGGTTCCGAAGGTGCCAGGGTGATGCAGACACCTTGATTGCTCTCAAATGTGTTATGACGACTTGGCTTTTCTTCTCTTGTGTTTTGCATCCTACCGCAGTCGCCTCTGTGCTCACATCGCTGTTTCTACTACCGAATGTCGATCTTCTTGCATACTTGCACTATCCCAGATCCAAAACAATCGCGAGGAGCAGCCCGATGAGCTTTGGCCAACACCACTATGGCCGGGACACTTCTGCAAGAGGCTCTCCTTCTGTCCATCTGCGGTTGATATATGCGTAATTGTACAAACAGACACGACTTTGCATAAACAATGAACAAATCAATGTGCAGATGAAGCACAGTGTATGTATGCATAGACACAATCATGCATAGACACAATCATGCATACATGCATCCATCCATCACTTCATACATGCATCCGTGCATACATACATACATACGCATGGACATTTGCAGTAACCGTATGTTTGATTCTGCTGCACATACACATGCACGGACACTTATGTGTACATGTACACATAGCACATACACAAAGACATGCGCATGAAGCAGGCACTTGCACCTGCACCTGCACCTAAACCTAGACCTAGACCTACACCTCCACCTCCACACCCACATCCACATCCACACACATGCACGCACATGTAAACATACACATGCGCATACACATACACACATGCACCTACGTACACGTACTGATGCGAACATACGCATACGCGCACACACACACACACACACACACATATAGATATATTTTCATTATATACGTACCGACCAACCTGCCTACCTACCTGCCTGCCGACAGGCCTACACCTACCTTCGTACATACGTACGTGCGTACACACGCAAGTACTACCTACATCCATGGAAACATGTACGCTTTCACGATTATCGTTTTGTGTATGATTGTTGTTATTCTTGTTTGTTATTGTGTTTATTGTTAAATGTAAATTTACTGGATTTTCATTACGATTACTGCTACTATTCCTACTGCTATTACCGTCACTATCGCCAATACCATTGCCATGTCCAGTACAACATGTTATATGCCATTGCGATTACTATTCTCATCACTGTCATTGATACTAGTACTCTCGTTGGGTAGTTTCGTTTTTTGTGTTTCTGTTGTTGCTGCTAGTCCCTGTCCCTGTCCTTTTTGGAGAAGGTCCCTGCTTCAGCTCCGGGACTCGAGCGGCCTGGCCACGCAGCAGCCCCCCTACTGCTTTGCGGTCCGCTACGACATCAGGCTCGCAAGAGGCACTGACTGAAGCTCTCCCAACCGAGTCTTTTCGAAGTCCAGGCCGCTTGTGAAGCAGCTCAGCGAGAAGTCTGCCTACTTGATGTTGCTGGATGGCGAGAAGCTACGGCGCGAAGCCCCAGCATAAAGACCTTCGACGGCTCAGTAACCAGATTGATTCGAGGCGAATCGGCCGCGGTTCCGGCGTGGACATCATCGCTGCGTCCAAGTGTCGATCCCGGAACTGCTCGCATGCTTGGGGCCTGGGTTCCGGGCTTGAGTCCTAGCCTTCGAAGCCGGTGGCTCTGCCGACATCATCGAGATGACATGTTTCCCACAAGCTGTGCTCGACCGAAGATCTACGTTTTTCAGAGTACATGACGTGAAGTCGGAGCGAATTTTGAAGTTGCCGAACAACGGAGACCGTTCAGATGGGTACTGGAGTTTCATCGCCAGGTGTATTGGTGTAGGGTCAAGGCCTGGAATGCCATCGTCAGAGAGGAGAGAGTCGAAGAAGACTAGTGTCATCCAAGGTCCTGGATCGCGTGGGGGGCGTTGTGTGCGCAGCCACTTCTGCTTACTCGTGATGCCCAGCCTTCCTGACTTGTTGCAAGCTGCTTGGGCCTTCTGATCGTGCGCTTCTCCACGCCCTATGTCAGGGGCAAGCTCGTCGGGGAAGCACAGGTGCAACCCGAGCTGGATTGCCACGCGAACGGCGAGGGGGTGCCCTGCCTTTGAACATCTTTGAACCAGAGATACTTGCAGCAGGTAGCTCTGTCTCCCTCTCGCTCTCCCTGTCTCCCTGTCCGGCGTGGTTCGTGGTGCAGGGCTCCGACAGACTTGAAGCATCTGGCTGCAGGTACTGCTCATGACAGTGGCACCTGGCTCAGCCGAGAGGTCTTGCAGCTCCGTGGGCCATGGTCCGCTGTCCGCTCAAGGTGCTGACCCCCGACATCAAGAACCGACAGCTCTGGCAGACTGCCGGTGATCTCATGAGCTATCGTCTGGGCAGTGCCCTGGCTGCACATCAGCGCTCGTCGCATGGTCCGTCAGTGCTTTGAGTCTCTGTGAGGCCCACAGGTGCTCTGTGGTTTGTGCAGCATGGCAGTGCCCATGCGTGAGCTCAGCGCCCATCAGAGTCACCAGTGCCGAATGGTGCTCTCGGCCTGCAGCGGCCTCGTCGGCATAGCCGCATGTCCACGGTCTTTCCCTTTCCCTGGGAATTTTAGGTCCTCGCTGCAAGAAAGAGGTCCGCCTCTTAGAAGAGTGGCCCAAAATTTTGCCTGTCAAAGACTCGATACAAGGTGCCGATTCGTGAGCTGGCGGCGCATCAGGCACCTCTGCCTCTCTGCCTCTTCCTGGTCCCCTTGTTTTGTCTGGAAAGCGTCTGCACAAGGTCGGTCCACACTGCCTCGGCAGCTCCAGCATGGGAACACAGACGCTGGAGACCCTTGCCTGCACCGCCTGCGAGGAACCAAGACCAGGCTTGGCTCCTGGTCCCACCTTCCCTGCACCGAGGAAGAAGGTGCAGGATGCACCGTCCCAGTGCAGTGCACCTGTGCTTCTACCGGCAGGCCAGTGCCGCCACGGTTTGGGGTTTTGGGGAGTCGTCTTGTGAAGTATCCGCACAGCCTAGCACAGCAACGTGGAAAGGTGTGCAGACTGGCTATGCGCTCTATGCGCCAGAGAACCTTCGCTCAGAGGCCTCTTCCGTCCCATGGGCGCATGCGGGTTCGGTTCCGTTCGGAGAGAATCGCGGGCAGGAGCCGGTGCCAGCCTTGGTTCCTTCCGCTGCGGTGCGGTGGTCGCGGCCGGCACCGGAGGCCGGAGGACAAGCCCACGAGCCCGAGCCCAAGCAGCGGAGCAGCGGGAAATGAATGCCACTTTGGCAGGCCCGGCCCCGGGAGTACCAGCTCTCCATCTTCGAGTTCCGTGGCGGCGACGCCCGGGAGCAGTGGCTTCCCGGCCGAGCATTGGATCTCTCGCTCACCTTGCCGCTCGCGGCCGAGCGGCTTCTCAGGTCGCGGCTTCGAGTGGAGCTGTTGGAGATGTCGAGCTTGGAGAAGCAAGGCCACAAGGGACAAATGGCTTCGTTAGAGCCATTGCAAGTTGCACAAGCACTAGCGGCAAAGACAACTTCATCATGCGCATCAGTAGCCCGCCCTGACATGCAGCATGCCGCTCACCGGCTCTTCTCTTCAAGGATTGCGGGGGGAGTTGCGCCACGAGCTGACGCATCTGCGCCCTGGCACGAAGTACCGCCTCGAGCTTCAGCCACGTGCCGGGGACCCAGAGAGCAGAGGGGAGAAGAGGGGAGAAGAAGAGGGGAGAAGAGAGGCGGAGAAAGAGGAGGGGAGTAAAAAGAAGTAAACTCAGTAAGCCAAGAGCCAAGCAAAGCCGGTGGGTCGCCCCCCGGCCGCTCGGCTCTTAGGCCCCGGATGGAAGCCTGGGCCCTGCGGCCGCGATGGTGCTGACCACCCTGAGCCGCCTGGCAGGCGCGCGTGCACGCGCGCACGCGCACGAGCTCCGAGATTCATGAGAGCTTGTGATGTCTCGTGCGTGTGTCAGGCTTCGAAGGCTTCTCCGCAGAGGACAAGGTGTGCCGCCTTGGCATGACACCGGGAATTTGTGTCAAATCTGTGGTGTTCTGGGTGCCACATGAGGCCACCCTCGAAGCAGTTCCGCAGCCTGCCCGGGTCATTGGCTTGGTTGGCACTCCGCAAAGAAAGAAAATCCGCTTTTGAGTCTGAGAGTTTGAGGTGGGTCGCCCAGAGTCCATCAGCCTCCGGGAGCAATCCACGCAGGCGGGTCTGGGCTTCGTCCAAGGCGGGCGGAGGGTTCCCGACATGTGAATCCCGAAATCTGTTAAACGTTCCCGAAGCCGAAGGAGCCTGCAAGAGCGAGATCTCCAGAGAAATCGGAGTGCAAGCATTCCCGACCGTGCTGGAGGAGGTGCTACCTGAGACCTGGCACGACGATCTTGACGTTGGCTTTCCTTGGCTTTGCCAGGCCGCCTGCCAAGTGGATCCGATTATTCCCGTGACCTGCTCAGGATCCTCGCAACCTCGGAATTCGCAGAATTCGAAGTGCAGCTCGTGATGGTCAGGTCACACAGGAGATTGCATGCGGTGAGGAGTGGGCCTCCTACACCAGCACCGGCACACAATGCAAGGCTTTACGGCTTTCTGAATGCTCTTCTTTCAGTGTAGAAGAGATGCCGAAGGGTCACTGTTGAAAGTGCAGGCTCCGACAGCAGAGACTTCGGTGCAAAGCACCTCGGACACTCAGAGTTTGTGGAAACGGCAGACGCCTGCATCTCTGGTTCGAGTCCTGAGGTGCATTGCAGGTGGGACACAGCTCCTGCCAGGCCTGATCCTTCTACACAGAGGGAGAGAGATAGAGCGAGAGTCAACAGACGGCCTGCTCCCGCGGGGGCATGCCCTCAAGCCTGGGGAAAGAAAGAGAGAACGAGTGAGTGAGTGAGTTTTCCTGGCGAGAGATGGAGAGATTGATGCCAGCCCGCCACCGGGGTTGAAATCCCAAGTCTCCACATTGTGTGTCGAGGTCAGTGCCCGAACCCCTGTGTCTGTGCTGGTAGGGTGCAGTTTGAAGTGCAGTGCATTTTCTGTGAAGAATTACATAGGGGCGAGGCGCACTGAGAACAGTCGTGGAATACCCACGTGTTCTCAGAGCCTGGCATTCGGGGCAGGAGCAGTAGTGGTGATGCAGTTGACACTCTGTGAAACTTGCGGTAAGATACCGAGCTCAGCCTGTGGAGTGGATCGAAAGTCTGTTGCACGTAATACCGTGCGTCCCTTCAACCAACGGGCTGCTCCCGCGGGCCATGTCTTCAAGCCTGGGGAAAGAAGAGAGGAGCGACAGAAAGAGAGGTTTAGGGTTTAGGGCCTAGGGTTTCGGGCTACTCCGTTTTGCTGTTTGTTGCCACACACGCTCGGGCCGAAAGGTGCGGTAACCGCTAGCAACTTCTGCAGAACCTAGAACGCCTGAAACGTGAACATGGAACCTCGTGCCTGACATTGAGAAGCCGTTTGTGTAGGTTTAGGTATTGTTGGTCGAAATGGCTTGGGGGTAAGCCCCAGTAGCGACGCCAAAACTTGAGTGAACAATGAACGAAGTCAAGACTTGCTGTGGGAGTGGCCTAGCTGGTTTTGGTCTTTGGGGGTTTATCTTTCTCTCTGTTTGACTTCGACCAGTTTGCCACGCGAGCCTTTTTCACCAAGCTTCCCACACAGTATGGGGGGCGCTACCGCGCAGGGATGAAAGGTAGCTCCCTCACCCTCTACCGCTTGCGAAGAGACAGACAGTGACAGAGGGAGAGAGAATTAGTTTTTGCTCTCTCTTTTTCCATAGCTACTTCGTTTATTCTGGGCCAGGGGGTATGCATTGCACCTCTCTTGTAAATTACAGTTCCTAGCAGGGGTACAATCCAAAGAGAGACGACCCTTGCTACTCCGATCACTCCGCCTAATTTGGGGATCGCAATAGGCGACCCTCCTGCAAGCCACCCGGGATCGCAGAGTGACGGCCCTTCCCTTTTCCGCTTGATTTTGCTTTTCAGTACGAGTAAACTGTGAAAACATGGCCTGTCGATCCTTTAGGTCTGAGAAATATTCAGCTAGAGGTGTTTCAAAAGTTACCACAGGGATAACTGGCTTGTGGCAGCTAAGCGTTCATAGCCGCGTTGCTTTTTGATCCTTCGATGTCGGCTCTTCCTATCATTGAGACGCAGAAAGTCCCAAAGTGTCGGACTGTTCACCCGCCAATAAGGAACGTGAGCTGGGTTTAGACCGTCGTGAGACAGGTCAGTTTTATCCTACTGGTGAACTAGATTCTGCGACATCACGAAACAGAAGACCTTCTCGACCACCATATGTGAAATTCTCTTCCAAGAGTCCAGCTTGGCAGAAACCTGGTGGGGTGCACAGAACGGCGGACCCAGCTTTGTTGTTGTTTTGCACTCGGGGACTCTTTCCCCTGTCAACCACTGACCTGAGTCCTCTTGCTAGCAATTTCTCACCGACAAACCGATCTTGGACTTTGGCGTAGCGCTGATGCGCAGGGAGGGGTACGTGCTGCCCTTATCCCCGCAGACCCAGCAAGCAAGCAAGCAAGCAAGAGAGACCTCCACAGCCCGAGAGCAAAAACAGCGGAAGAGAGCTCGTCAAAGAGCCAGGCGCAGTTTCCTCCTCGGCCCATCACCGGGGACCGCATGGCAGAGTTGGAGATGGACATGCAGGCAAAGAGCAGATGAAGAGCCCTTCGCCAAGAAAAACTCCTTCTCCTGGTCAGGCGGCACTTCCTGGCCCTCGCGCCGTGCTGCACCAGGCGCTGGGACTGGGCCCATTTATGGGCCTATTTTAGCGGCTCTCACAGCTCGGAGAAGCACCAGGTGGGGACCGCCGAGTTGATGCGACTTTCTTTGGCTGTCCTGGCCAACCTTCTGGCGTGCCTTGTCCTGTCTGATCTCCACGGGTGCTCCGGTGGCCTCGCTCTGATTGCTCGCTATTCTTCAAGATCCAAGGCTGGCGAGCATTCTGCTCGCGGAGATCTCACTGGAGGAACTACATGCGCTTCCACGTTGTTCGCTTCGCCTGCCCTTGGCCGTGGCCTTCCGACACATACCGAATATGCACAGTGTCGCAACAGCTGATGACTTGATGCCAACACAGCCTTGTTGACCGCATATGGCAGGAGCTGTGGCCCATGCTTTCCGTTCTCCTCCTGGTGATTCCCCTCAATGGTTTGGAATTTGCCTTCTTCGAGGCCTTTCGATGTATGGTCGCTGAAAGCCGCCGCAAGTTTCAGGTACTGCAGTAAGACGTTGCAGCTCAAGGGCATCATCTGCAGTACGTACCTATTGCAAGCATGCGCGTGCTAGGATACATCGCCGAATACTGTACCCAATGCATGAAGCTCTTGCAAAATCAAAGTCTTCGCCGTTGTGACGCATCTCTCCGAATGGCGCCCGCGCCGTCGGACGATACCTTGTTGCAGCTCTCTGTGAAGGAGTTTAGAGCTGAGAGCTTCCAGCAAGTGCAGAGCTCCGTCGGAATTGGCGCAGCAGGAGCTCGCTGCGGCCATTGCGTGTGAATCAGTTTCTGCGGTGCAGGCCCTCTTAAGTTTCCTTGGGAGCTTTGGTGTTCAGCTTGCCTTGTCAAGGTGCTCACGGCGTTTCGCCGCCGTGCAGAAGTGATCCACAGCGCCTCGTCCGCTACTTTCCGTGCACAATCAAGCTGCCGTGATATCCACAGACACGCAGGTGCCTGCAACTGCGTGCTGTGCTTCGTGGAAGAGTCGTGGCAGTGGGCGGAAGAAGCCGCCACCTGGCATGGGTGCAGCAGCGGAGGGATTCAGTGTTGTTTACTAGTGACTCGGGTAAACAGAAACAGCAGTTGCGGCAAGCAGCTTTCTTAGGACAACTACCTCCGGGAGACGGGGAACCTGCTTGGGCCCCTGCATGGCGTGCCCTGCTCCATCAAGGATCGCTCTTCCCATGAACCCGCCCCTGTTCGTGCCTGCGGGCTCTGTTGCCGACAGGACCACGTGGCACTGAAGGGTCACCCGGTCACTATGGGCCTGCGTTCACTCCGGGAGCAGCAGGACGAAAAGTGACGCAAGCTGCTCCTTCGATGTGTTTCAAGGTCTTCTAGAGGGATGCTATCGTTGACTCGTTGGCTGGCGGTCAACAGGGATGTCCTCTGTCCCCGCATGACCGCTTCCCATGCGCTGGTTCATTGTTGAATCGCTTGGTATTTGTGAATCTCCACCCGAAGACCTGAAGAGGTAGAAGCCAACCTGCGCGTCATAAATGCATGCATAGATGGAGGGATGGATGGACACAGGCATGGATGGATAAGATGATGTTAGCCGTGGCAGGGCTGACTACGTAGCTGCTTCACACGATTCGGGACACTCGATCTCCAGACTTTGCTCTCCCGCTACAGCTATAGGCCCTGTTGTTCTCTGGAGTGCAAACAGGAGAAGAAGCCGATCGGCCGCTCCAGCACGCTAGCGAACGCGCTGCGGGGCGCCGGCGCCGTGATCTTCTGCAAGACCACAATGACGCAGCTGGGCGAAACATGGGGAGGCGGCAGTCCTGCACATGGTGACACCCTGAATCCTTGGAACACTCTGCGCACTTCTGGTGGAAGCTCCTGCGGCGAGGGGGCTTTGTTGGGTGCTGGTGGCTCACCTTTTGGCATCGGCTCGGATGTTGGCGGCAGCGTTCGGATCCCTGCCTCGTTTTGCGGCATCTGCGCGCTGAAGCCTACGGCCTTCCGAATGACCTTCAACTGGGAGACCGGCAGTTTTGTGTCTACGCGTTGCATGAAAAGGTTGGGGCGGGTAGGTCTGAGGTGTGTTGTTGGGATGTAGTTTTGCAGGAGACAGGGCAGACGATCCTCGGACATGCAGGAGACTACGGGGTGTCCTGGAAGCATTATGGCATTATGAGGAATGCTGCGTCAGCCGAGATGCTGCGAATAGTCATAGTCGTCAGTCTTTCCACCAGGTCCCTGCAACACCCGGGCCCATGGCGCGGTATGTGGAAGATTTGATCGAGGTCTGCGCAGCAGTCTGGGACAAGCCGTATTACGATTCAGACATACGTATTCCACCTCTGCCGTTTCGGCGAGAGGCGACGGAGGTCAAAAGACCACTGCGCATTGGCTGGTATACCGATGGCTACGTGTACCCAGAACCTTGCAGGTCAGTGGTGCGTGCTGTGGAGGAAGCGAGAGACGCGTTGGCCGCAGCCGGTCACACCCTCCTTCACGTGCAGCCCTGGGATGCTTGCCCTCTGGCCGACATCATCGGCTGTGACATTGCATTGGAAAGGTTGACGGACACTGATGGCGGGCTGGTGGTTGGAGCAGTGCCACTGTCTTCTGGCAGCAACGACTCGCATCCAGACCATTGGACACACCCGGCATGCCAGGCGGGCTTGGATTCGGTCAGCGACCTTCGTTGAAAGCACTGGTCTTTGCGGTTCGCAACAGTGAACCATGAAGCTCCAAACGACAACTAGCACGAGCGCTGTAGGCAGCAACACGGGAGTAATGACCAGCCTCACCGCGGCTCCACAGAGATGTGGAAGGTATCGCCTTGCGGAGTTGTGGTGGTTGTACCTGCTCGTGTGTGATTTCTCCCCTTTCTCAGAATGCCAAATGTGCAGGGTGCAGCAGAGGGTTCGGGTTCGAGAGCTTCAGGAGGTTTGGTTGCTACAAAACTTGAGCTGTTTGGTATCTCTTGGTTGCCATGTCACCTATGTGGGTCTCATTTAAGGATGCTCCGAGCCTCAGCAGCCCGATCGGCGATGGGTCGTTCTAAGTGAGTGGTGGGCAGGGTATTCTGAAGAGTTTGCAGAGCCGACGCATCGATGCCGCTAGCCCCTCCGCAGGCTCTGGTCCCCAAGCCGGGAACGAAGTCAACGGTGCACACGAAAATGCCTCCGACGAATACGCCCAAGCGATACCAGGCGGACAGGACTGTGGAGGGAGAAGCTATCCGCTTTACATGTGCTTGCACTTGTGCCTACGCTGCAGGCAGCCATGGCTGCCCGTGATCGGCTTCGGGACAAGTTCGCAGGGTTCTGGAAGGCAAACGAGCTCGACCTTCTTCTGTGCCCTGTTTTTCCTTTCCCCCCACCTCCAGTGGAAGAGGTAAGGAAGGGCAGTGGTCGGTATATTCACACGCGCGTCTACAACTTCCTGGACTACGCTGCCGGGGTGGTTCCTGCAACGCATGTGACCGAGGAGGACCTACTACAGGAATACGATGCCAAGACGGATGACGCACCTTTGGCAGAGATGGCCACTCGAGCTGTGGAAGGCTCCCTGGGTTTGCCCGTGGCAGTGCAATTGGCCCCATGACCGGGTTTCAGATATTTTGCCGTGGGTTGAGCGCCAGTGCCGGAGTGTCCGGAATAAGATGTGTGGCACAGTTTGGTGCTTAGGTCGCCCCACCATGGCGGGAGGAGCTCTGTCTGGGTGGCATGCTGGAGGCAACGCTGTAGCAGAGATTTGTGTCGTAGAATCGTTTCGCCACGGAGCAACTCGAAAGAGGTCCAGCGGCTGTTGGCCTTCGATGGAAATGCGCCGCTTGTTTTGGAGTTTTGAAGTTTGACTGACGTCTGGAGAGAGATAGAAAATGATAGAACATGCCCACTCTAATACTAGAACGTACAGTATGTACTTACTCTCTCTCTCTCTGTCTCTCTCGCTGTCTATATATTTAATATGCTTGTGTATCTACCTGTACCTGTACAGATAGATAGATAGGCATGATAGACTGTACATGCGAGAAGTGACTTCTTGGCCTCTTGGAGCTCAGGCATGTCCGCTTGTCGCCCATTCCGCGGCGGCCACCGAGCCTCGGGGCTCGTCCCGAGTCCTGGCCCGGGCCTTCCCGGCTTTAGACAGAAGCCAGCGACAAAAAGGAATGACATGATGAGGGTTTAGGGTGTGGGGGTTTAGGGTTTGCGGGTTTAGGGTTTGGGGGCTTAGGGTTTGCGGGTTTAGGGTTTGCGGGTTTAGGGTTTGGGGGCTTAGGGTTTGCGGGTTTAGGGTTTGCGGGTTTAGGGTTTGGGGGTTTGTGGGTTTAGGGTTTGCGGGTTTAGGGTTTGGGGGCTTAGGGTTTGCGGGTTTAGGGTTTGCGGGTTTAGGGTTTGGGGGCTTAGGGTTTGCGGGTTTAGGGTTTGCGGGTTTAGGGTTTGGGGGTTTGTGGGTTTAGGGTTTGCGGGTTTAGGGTTTGGGGGCTTAGGGTTTGCGGGTTTAGGGTTTGCGGGTTTAGGGTTTGGGGGCTTAGGGTTTGCGGGTTTAGGGTTTGCGGGTTTAGGGTTTGGGGGTTTGTGGGTTTAGGGTTTGCGGGTTTAGGGTTTGGGGGCTTAGGGTTTGCGGGTTTAGGGTTTGCGGGTTTAGGGTTTGGGGGCTTAGGGTTTGCGGGTTTAGGGTTTGCGGGTTTAGGGTTTGGGGGCTTAGGGTTTGCGGGTTTAGGGTTTGCGTGTTTAGGGTTTGGGGGTTTAGGGAGGAAGCAGCGGAAAAAGCGCGCTCTGCTTTTGCCTTCCTTGCGGTGCCCTTGTGCCCCCCACTTTGACACTGTTGCAGATGTTCCTTCCCAGCCGTCGGGCGGCTTCCAAGTTGCGCGTCTGGCGCCGGCGGAATGCAAACCTCAACAGGCAGGGAAAGGGAAAGGGGAACGGTTTTTGTGGAGGTGCCAGTGGCCGATTTGTTCTGAGGTTAATACAGCTTGCGGCGCTGGCGGTGAGCGATGCGCTACGGCTTTATCGGGCTGCTCTCCAACCGGGAGGACCCAGGCTGGAAGCTAAATCACACATCTTGTGAAATGAGGCCCGAACCATGGTCTTTCTTTTTTATTGCGGAGGTTCACGGGCGTTTTGGAGCCAAGCCAAAGAGGCAAGACAGACCAGGCCACATATACCCTCCGATGCAACAACGCTGGTAGTTCGTGCTTGCTTCTTCTCCTTTGGAACTGCCGCAGGTGCAAGTGGCAGTCCTTCCCAGCGGTGCGGCCAAGCCGACTTTGACCCGAGTTGTTTCCAGCCGCGTTCTTGGAAGGTGACAAGACTGCGAGTGCCAAGTCCGTTAGCCAGGCTTCGGATGGCAACGCATGAGTGGTGTTACGTTCGTGGGTAGACTCAACCTAAGTTTAAGTGGGGGTCATCAACAGGCAGCGAGTTCTCCGGACAAGTGGAGGACCACCGTGCAGCCACAGCATGTCGTAGCATTGTGCAGCTGAGTGCCGCCTGTGGGAGGAGCTGGCTAACACCTGTTCCGGCCTTATGTTGTGGTGTCATGATCGGTGGCACAGTCCACATCCATCGCGAGCTTTTCAGGACGAGCTGTGCGGCGCCAGATGCCCCGTCTGTAGCCGCTCAGCACCGGAACAATATAGCTGGCCGACCCTGACAGCCTTTGGCTTCAGGGCTTTGGATCGTCACAGATCAATTTCGGACGGCAGGTAGGCAGGGCAGTGCTTTTGACAAAGGTTGCACGACTCCACTGCCACGAATGGCTGATTTATGGCGGAGCACCCGATTCGGACTGTGCCCCAAGGACACACTTACATGGAGCACATCTTATAGGATCCGCTACAAAAATTCGATGGCACGTTGGCATTGGGCTTTCTATTGGGTTTGCGCTGGTGGCCTTCAGCTGCGGGCCTCGATCGACCCCCTTTGAATCGTGAGAACCAACCATTGCAGATAGGTGAACTGTCAAACAAATCACAATCCTCACACACACAAGATGCAGGTGAGAGTGGTGAGATGCATGAGAAAAATCAGATGCCGCAAACGGTTCACATTTTTGGGTTGTGCAAACTCGCCGTATGCCGTCAATCGGAGTGTGGCTGAATTTTTGCTACATTTGACCAGGCACGCGGCTTAGAACAGATATCGGAGATCGGTCGTGCCGTCACCAAATGATGCGCAAGAAGCGTTACAAGAGCTCCGCCATACCATGTTTGCATGCAGCGTGTCAGGGCATTTCTCCTGCTGGTGTCGAATAATGAAAGGCTGTTGACTCTGTTGACCGTGAGTTGCAGCAGGTACTGCAACGTGCCACAGCTTGCTATCGCGCTGTGGCATGGCTTGCAAACAGGAATCTTCATGGTACCTTGTTGGTGATAATTTGCATTTTGCGTGCTTGAACGGACTTTTGCTTTCCTTGGCTGCAAGTGTAAGGATGCTGCTTCTCAGACAGCTGCAGAGCTCCGACACCTGGGGGGTGGCGACGTCTCTTCACGTCTGTGCTCGGGCTGCACAAGAAAAAGCCACACGGGAGTTTCGGGGCCCTAACCTTAGTAAGGTGCCATCATTTTAAGAAGCCCCCAACTTCCTCCCCAATGTTGCGATGTCAGTTTCGAAGGTGCCTTGTCCGCACACGGCCTGGGGCTTCTGTGGATCCTTCTGCGATGGATTCAGAGCTCTGGCTGCACCTGAGAGCAGTGCCTGGGATTGACGAGGATCCCTCACATCGAGGTTGTTAAGTGCTTAGAGACTCAGACGTTTAGACTAGAGTTTAGGGTTTAGGACTATAGCCCGGATGTGTCCAAGGGAGGTATGTCTGAGTAATGTGGTCGAGTTGGGTCAGGCCTCGTTCGCTGATTCGCAGCTTCATGATCCGGAGAGCGCTGCAGCAAAGAGGGTTGGTTTGCCGCGGCTGCGGAATTACTTGTGAGTTAGCCTGTAAGAGCTCACTTGACATGGAGGGTTCGACTGTGTCTGCTTATTCTCTGAACACACCAGTGTCACAGTGTCACTCACATCAGTGATCCTGTGATCTGCATTCTCACCGTGTCTCTACGCCGACTTATGGGCAAAACCTGCAGCTCTCTCAAACATGAGGGTCATGCATGTTTGTGATTCCTCCGTTGTGCTTAATGGTAGAGCCCCAGAATTAAGAGAATCAGCTGGCAACACTTTGATGATCTCATCGTCGTGCTGCAATGCTGGCCTGAACCGGCCGCCGGTTTTGGCTAACGCCGAAGCTCAACGCTAAAGGACTGGAGAACTTGGCTAGCGACAATCTTGTCGATAGCTGCAGTTGCGATGTGCAGCTGCCGTCGTTTCCGAAGCGTGTTCTCGTTTAGCGACAAAGTTTTATCGCATTACCTTGCTCGTGCCTTCATCCGGGTTACACTTTTGCAACAACTTCCCGGGAACGCAATCGGAAGCCTTCTCTCAGGCTCGGTTGCCGCCGGCGGGCCAAGCACACGAAGGTGCCCAGGCCAAATCCTGGAACGATGGGGTTGGGATATCTGGCACAGGTTGCCGAGCTCACATCAGACAGCATCGAGAAGACATTGCAGCTGCAGTGGAGGCCTTGCCGTTTGCACGTCGGAGAATGCCTGTTTGTTTAGCATGCTTGCTGGACAGGGGTATCGAGGATGTGGTTTGTGACGCCTGGAATCTTGTCTGCACAGCCTGTCCGCCATCATGGCATTCTTCGCTGTAGCAGCGCGCCAAGGTTCGTGGTTTTCTACAGCTTCGATAAGAAGAACGTCTTGCGCGTGGAGATGCTTCCTGGGAGGCGCTGGTCACTTGAGTTCTCGTGCACGGGGTCCGGGGTTGATTGGGGTCCGAACCCTGAACCTCCTCTGTAGGGTTTGTGACTTGGATCGCACTAACAAAGCTCCGAGCCGGCTCGGCTTTGCGGTTCGACGGACTTCTGACAATTCGTTTTAGGGTGTAGGGGTTTACGAGCATGATTCCGGGGTACAGGTTTTCACCTGTTGGGAGTTTTGAAACAACTGACATTTCCTTAATTGCAGCAGTTGGGCGTTTCATAGGGCTTGGGAGCACCCCTTTGCCGACAAAATGTGCTTATTGTGCGGTTCCAGGCCTGTCAACTTTGATGTGTGACTTTGTCTGTCCATGCTCAACATCTCCTGAACTAGGGCACTAGGGTTATATAGGGTTTCTGCAGTCAGCCCAACCTAAGTGCAGCGTTTGCCAGACAGACATCATGCGGCCAGACCTGTATCCACCTTTTTTTCAGGTTGCGGGCCAACCGGCAGCTCCTTTGCGGTTTCCATGACTGCCAGGGAGCTGTTAGTGTTGTCGGGAGCAGGGGTCCCAATGTGCCCAAAGGATCCGGTCATTCGGCATCCGAGCCATCACTCAGAGTCAAAGATGTTTTCCAAACAGACAATGAGAAGCCTCACAGACTCCACGTTCGCAGAAGTCTTCAGCACGCGTTCCTGACGAGGCCATCGCAGGGCCAGTGGGCTGAGAAGAACTGCCTACAACTGCCGCTGATCTGCAAGTTACGTTAGGGCTGGAATGAGGTAGACGGGCCTGAGATTTTGACGGCTGGGTCGAACAGGGGTGCCAGAAAGACTTACTGTAGTGCAACTGAACTAATAGCTGTACCTCGGGTTTGCGTTTTGCAAACTTGCATGTGGCGACAGCCTTATTCATCACTGGCTTGTTTTTGTCTAGCAGCAAGATGCGATATAAAAGCCGACATACGAAATGTCGGGAGACGTAAAAGGAGGATCACTCCGATGAGAAAAGAACCAGAGGAACATTAACTTCCATATCGAAATGCTGCCCAGTCTCTGCAGCTATGCACCGCATGATACGGTCCCAGATCAGCAGACGAGCCCACAGCATTATAGGGCTTGAGCGCAGAGCATTAGAGGCTTTCAAACACGCCGAAGCTTTGTATGTGGGGTGTCAAGGTCTAGGTTTGGCGATGCTACCTTGTCTCGAAGCAATTGCGTGTGCGCTCCAGCAATTCGGGACCTCACCCAAGTACGTAGTTTCACATCCTAGTGCTGCAATTCGGGATGCAGTTTCCTGAGCCTGAGGCACGATGCTCCGGCTGGACATTTTTGGGTGTCGGTCCTGTGCTGGCACCGGGGCTGTGACCTCAGAAGATTCAGCCCAGCAGGGAGTTGTTCCAGACTTCTGTAGCAGCTTGATGCACTCAGGTTCGCTCACAATGCCGCTGGCGATGGGGCACTGCGACATCCCAGCGGCCCTCTTACCTGGAATGACGCGGGAGGAACGTTCGAAATTATCAGCAATGGCTCGCAAGGCCGTCGAAGCAGAGCCAGGCAGGTCCCAGGGTTCGCGATGCTGTGTCAGTGCGTTGAGTTGGCCATGGGCATCGCAGGCCCCTCCCGGAAGCGCGCGGATGTCGCCGAGATCGGCACCGACGCAAAGCCCTGGGAAGTCGTCGATGCAGGCCGGAGCCCGTGGGCGGACTCGGGCAGGAACTAGGGCATTCGGGAATTCCCTTCGCCAGGCACCGATCCAAAGGATGTCATCAGGCCTGTGGCACACGCAGAGGCCGGGCCTTCAGATCCGCTTTTGGAGGGGATCATGGTATCTTCTTCGCAGCTCGAAGAGGTGCAAAACGTGCCGGCATCCGTGGATGCGGCAAGTCAATTTCCGGCAGTGCTTCTCCCAGCGGAACCCGGCTGAGAGTCTTCGAAGCATCGTTGCTGCGCCGTGAGGTTCCCGTGGAGTTGTGCGATGCCTCCACCACACCAGAGCACCCTGACAGCACGCAGCTTTGTTAGGTTATGATTCATGGTGATTCCTTCGCTGGGCGAGCCAGGCTTGCGTCTGCCAGCCCGAAACCGAGCTTTGCCTTCCCGGGCCGGTGCCACCGCCGCTGTCGTAGCCCTGGAGAGCCGAGGTGAAAGGCGAGTTGCAAAAGTCGGAACCAGCCTCGGCAGCTTCGACCTCCCAGTGCAACTCCAGTGCCAGGACGGAAAGCACGAACCGCCTGCGCGGCGCATAACTCGCATAACCGTGCATAGCCCTAACCGGCGTCTCTCGAGGAGATCGCTTCTAGCGAGGCGGGCTCCAAGGGTGCCAAAGGAGCCTCGAAGTTTGCAGACATCACTCGGTTGGGGACCACGCAGGGGCTTCAGAACTTCAGAGGACTCTGGCTAACCTGGCTGCCTCACGGCTTGGTGGAGGCCTCCCTTCTTTCTCTGAGAGACGTGGAGGGGAAGCCGCCTCTACGACCTCCGACCTTCTGCGACTGCAGGCGGCGCCGCGGCTAGTGGTGCACGCGCGGCGCATCACGGCCACGGCGGGAGGAGACGAGCCAGGTCGGAAATGAAGGGAAGCTGGAGGAAGGAGGTTGCGCCTGTGTTCGCGTAGGCTGCAGAAGTCCCTCTCAGATCCGAATCTTCTCCGGGTTCCCATGCTAGCTGAGCGAATCGCAGTAGAAAATGCTTTGTACCTGATTCTGCATGTGAACTACAAGTGTTTTTTCCTTGCTGCGGAACTTTGCAGCTTCATTATTTCATTACAGCTTCCAGCAGAAGGCGAACCCGGAGCACGGGTTCCCGCGGCCATGAGCTTGAACCAGGCTCGTCCGGGTGTTGCTCCCCCCTAAAGTCGCTGCATGCCATCTCCGCTTTGCGAAGGCTTCCTTCGAGCACTTGGAGGAGGGCCGCTTCGAGCTGGTGCTGAGCTGCGAATTGGGCGCCTGCTCTGCAGAGGCCTGATTGCGTGGTCTGGCAGTCACAGAAACGTGGTTTAGTTTGGGGCCTTTAGGGCGCGTAGGGCTGAGGGTTTACGCGCATGATCTAAGCAAAGTTTACGGTTTCTTTCCGCGAGCCAGGTCAGGCGATGCCCTCACGATCGCTGTGGGAGACATGTCTGGGCAGACAAGCTCGAGGCCAGGCGACCGCCGTGCGCTCCAGCGCATACCTGATGTTCCGAAGATTCCGAACGCGTGCGTGCAGGATCATATCAGGTCAGAATCTCAGTTTTTAGCCCCCGCTCCCAAAAGGCACAGCGCAGCTCTTAGGAGAGGTGCAAACGTGCCGGCATCCGCCGCATCCGCTTCTGCTCTGAGGCACTGCCCCTGGCGGCCTCGTCAGTGTCCTCGTGCTCCCGTGGGGCACCAGTGTCGTCGTAGTTTTTTCGACGTGTCATCTCGTTCCGTTGTCGATGAGGTCTGTAGTTGGCAAGGGTGCGAGGATGAACTCCAGGAAATGCTCGACACGAGTCAGGACGATAGTCGTGTCTGTCAGAAGGAAGCATACCCTGCAGGAGCATTTGCACGACTGTCCTGGGCGAGAGATCCCATGTCGGCACTGTATTCGGCCCAGCAGAGTCGGAGTCAGGGTCGCCTTTGACGGTGCCTGAGATGAGATCTGGCCTGCGCTTCTGCCAGGTGGCCTCGGCTGTTGGTGGGTGGGCCCCGGCCAGGTGCGACCGGCTGCAACCGGAAAGTTGCAAGTTGCGCAATCATTCCCTCGCCAGGACGAGGAGCGGCACTTGGAGGAGGACTGCCTCGACCCCAGCGTCGCGGATCAGCGCAGCATGTCGCGCCATTGCGGAGCTGAGGTGAGCCCCAGCGGCTTCTGAGGATCGTGCGCCCGCTCAACGAGCTGCTGAGCGAAGCCTGCCAGCGGCCTCAACGAAGTGACAGGGCTGGACCACTCCAAGCTGCATGTCTGAGGCCCTGACTTCCGTAATCCGGAAGTCCTTCGCTTGCAGGCCGAAATCGACTTCGGGGAGTGCTTGAGGATGCTTGAGGCTTGAGCCGTGCGGCAGTGCAGTCGAGGCGAAAGCTGTGGCCTACCGACGCTCCGTCACTGGCCCAGTGTCGAAGCAGGACGCGGAGGGAAAGCGAGGCGAAAGCAGTCGGGCGAGGGAGGAGCGATGCACTCCTTCCGAGGTTTCTGCTCCTGGGGCGCCATGGCGTGAGCACCGCCCTCAGACTTGGGGCTATCGGATATCGCCTTCAACCATTTTTTTGCAGGTGGAAGACGCCCGGTCGCTGCTTCTCATGCCGAAAGCCGGTCGACCGCCGGGAACAAGGACAGCTACGGAGCATGGGACCGTGAGGGCCTCAAGGTTCCCGTTGTTCCCTTCAGCCGCAGGACTGCAGAGCGATAGCGGCGAGCATCGCCTGTGCTGGTCCTGTCTGTTCTGGCCTTCGAGGGGACTTTTGCTGTCTCTGGCATTCCCGAGTGTTCCTGGAAGTTGCCAAGGCCAAAACACGTTGATTGGCAGCATTTTAGAGACAACGCCTGACGCCGGAATGGTGGCGCAGCAGTCAAGCCAAGGAAGACCCATGGCGATTCCTAGCCAAAGATCATGCGGTTCGGCAACCGAACGCGCCATGAGGGGTGCACGTTTGCACTGGTGGCCAAGATGGCCGACAGTTGGGCGTGCATGTGCTAGGGCCACAAACAGAACGGTAAACGCCGGTCCCTTCCTGGCATGCTCTGCGGTAGCTGTGATCTGCACATGCGGGATGTGACAACGTGACGCAGCCTCTTTTCTTGTCAACTTTAGCTTTGTCTGAGCCGAGTGGGCCCCGGGTCATCTTGCGTTCTGCAGCGCACTTTCCTGCATCGGCTCGGGTCGATGCCAAGGCGCAGCCCCCGGCACCAGCAAGTTCCTTGTTTGGGTCGCCTTACAGTATAAGTAGGATCTTACGATGAAGAATCCAGATTTCGATGCCTTGATCGTGCTTCTTAGCCTTTTCCACTCTGCACACTTGAGCGAAGAGGGAAGCGAGGTGGCTGGTTTTCATCTCGGCAAAGGAGTGTGTGGATTTGCGACGTGGTTCCAATGAACATGAGGAACCAAACCTTCTGCCCCATCAGTGACGAGACTCTGGGAGAGGTTCTTTGCGTGTGCCCGGCCAGCTTGTTGTGGCGGAGATCAGCATGACTGTATCTTAAGCCAGGCCGTTGATGAAGCCTGCGTCTGCGCGAACTCTTCGCACATCCGGGAGCTTGCTGGAGCCTTTTGGGTATCCCGATGTCCCTATCAATCGGAGCATCAGCATCCTCAGAGACAGATCAGGCAAACGTGACAGTGGACGGCCTGGCGTGCTATGCTTGTGAGCCGCGGCGACCACCGGCTTGCACAGAGGCTGGAAATGAAGGGTCCAGCTTGGCCACATGGATGTGGGGATGTTCAAGCACTTGACAGGCAAACGACCAGTGCACGCCCGAGGCATGTGAATGTGGCAACCCCTTGACCCACGCAAGCCTGTCATGTTGCGATGTTGTCAGATCTCAGGTGTCTGTTTGGTCATTTCCCGCTCGCAGCCTCGCCAGGTGAAGCGGGATGCGACCACGGTGGACGGGAGTCCATGCCACTATTGTCCAGTCCCAAGACGTCCCTGGTCCAAACGTCTTTTTGATGTGGACGTCCGGCCAGGCGAGCCAATCGGAGGAATGGCCGGCATCGGACGGCAGCTGTCCTTAAGGGGTGCAGCGGCAGAGTCCTGAAAGACAGAGGTCCTTCGCCGATTCGCTTCGAGCCGAGGCCCGAATTCTTCATGGTGGTCATGGTGCTGGCCTTGATCGCCATGTGGCAGCTCCTGGGAAGGCGGACTGGACCCTCTGAGGATTCGGAACCTTTGCAACTCTTCCTTCCACCGTAATCACATGGACACAATACAGAAGTGGCTTGGGGTCGGCTGAACGTAGCGAGCACTCGCGGCTTCGAAGCCGAACAGTCGAGGAGTGCGGTCACAGCCTTCGAATTGGCGCTCGAAGAAAGCTGTGCAGATCAGCAGTCCACCAGAAACATTCATGTGGGAAGGGGACCGTCGTTGGATGTGGCGAAGCGTTGTTGCCAGGAAGCCGGTGTCGGGAAAAAGCAGTTTGCGGCTTTCTCGACGGCAGGCACGAAAGACATGCGAGCTCATTGGTGCTGCAAGTCGCTGTGGGCCTGCTCAGGGTGACCGAAACCGAGCCATACGAGTACAACAGGAGCCGCTGCGGTTCTACGAAGAGGCCAAGCCGAGCCCTGCTCCGGAGGATCCCCTGAGGTTTTTCGCGCGCGACTGCATCGCCAGGTGATGTTCATGGTTGGAGACTTCTTCGATTTCGTGGTCCGGGGCTTGCGGTTTGCCTGATGGATGAGACCCAACTTCGGAGCGAAGGTGGACGGTGCCTGGGAGCTCTTTCGCGTGGACCTAGCCTCAGCTCGACCTGTTTGGGAGTTTTTGAGGTCCGGTAAGAGTTTGGTCATCAAGGCGTGGGGTCTTCTCCAGCGCCTCGCGGCCTTCCTTAGCAGCGTGCGGATCTCGAGACCGTGCAACACTGGTTAGCTTTTGCTCAGCGGCCTCAGCGAACGTGGGAAACCTGAAATGTTCCCAGGCTTCACCACTGAAGACGGTGAACGCGATCAGGTCGTGCGAGCCCTGGGCTTCAGGGAGACATCGAGGCAGAATATAAGCCTGCACTGCTACTGCTGCCAACCTTGTCTGCTGCAACCTGCAAGTCGTACAGCTGCTGCTACTGCTGCTCGTTCTCCTGATACTGCTGCTCCTGCTACTCCTGCTCCTACTCCTCCTCCTCTCCTCCTCCTCCTGCTACAGCAACAACAACTACAAGAACAAGAACAAGCACCTGGTAAATCTTGCTCATCTTACCAAGCTTGCCAATCTTGGTGGGGGTCAAGATAGTACACAATTTTGGTAATCTTGAAGTCTTGGTCGTCCAGAGGGGTTGCAAGATTGCTGGTCAAGGTTGCCAAACTTGAAAAGTGAGTTCCGCTTAGTGCGGGGGACGCGCATGCTAATCTTGCAATCTCTTGCAATCTTGCAGAGGGTTTAGGGCTTAGGGTTTAGGAGTTTCGGGGTTTAGGGTATAGGGTTTAGGCCTTAGGGCAGGGCCGGGTAGGGTTCAGGGGCGACGGGTTTGGGGCTTAGCGTTTTGGGGCTTAGGGGGTTAGGGTTTAGGGTTTCAGGTTTTCCACGGGTGTAGCAGAAACACAAGATTACAAGATTGTGCGCGACCCATCCCCTAATCGGAACCACCACCAAGATGGGCAAGCCGGCAAGCCTGTATGCCAATCTTGCCCCCCCCCCCCCCCCGCAACACCGAGCAAGCTTGGGAACCATGTCAACCCCCACCTAGATTGTACGCCAATCTTGTCCCAAGATCGGCTCTAAATCCCCGCCACACGGTGCTGCTACTACTGCTGCTGCTACTCCTACTCCTACTCCTACTCCTACTCCCACTCCCACTCCTGCTCCTACTCCTACTCCTACTCCTACTCCTACTCCTATTCCTACTCCTACTCCTACTCCTACTCCTACTCCTACTCCTACTCCTACTCCTACTCCTACTCCTACTTCTACTCCTACTACTACTACTACTACTACTACTACTACTACTACTAGTACTACTACTACTGCTGCCACTACTCGTACTGCGGCCACCCTTTCCGAAGCATTGTCTAGACTTGCCAGGTTCATCCGACCAGCGAAGGACGACCTTGACTGGGACGTGGTGGCCACCCAGAAGGAAGCGAAGCGGCCACTGCGGAGAAGAGTCGAGGCCTCCGTCCTGTGAGGTCCTTGAGCAAGCTGCAAGGCTTGAGTCAGGAAGCCAGAGGTATCCAGCATCCCTAAACCTCTACTAGAAGTATCCAGTATCACTAAAGCTCTAGGCTTTGCATGACTTTGCACATCTTTTGAAGCCCTAGAGCTCAAACTCCTAAAGCCCAACTCTTGTCATGAGTGCCAGGCCCCGACAGCTGCTGATTCTGCGGCTGGCAGCGCGACTTCAGGCTTGGGACAAGGTTGCCTTGAATAGGCCTACGAGTTTTAGGACTGGTGCCTTTCGTGGTGTACAGGTGCGGAGTTCAGTTCAGGGGCACTTTTGTCCAGTGTACCCGACAAGGTAGTGTCAGCACAAAGGTTTCTAAGCATCTTTCAGCCGTCTTTCGACCTTTTGCAGGTCTTGGGCCGGTGCGGCCATCCGCTCAAAAGGCGCCCGCACCCCGGCCGGAGAAGGCTGGAAGGGCCCGATTGGCCCGATTACGGTGGCGTGTCGGGTTGGGAGGCATCTGAGCTGCGTCTTCCCCCTTTCTCATGATCAGTTCTGCGACGTATCCGTAGTTTCCCAGAGCAAGAAAGATCCTGGAGTCGTTCCGGATTCCCAGATCACTGTAAACAAGACAGGGTTTTTTTTCCAGCACGTGGGGATGTCGCCCCAGCCCCAGACTGGGCCAGTTAAACCGGCAATCACCATGGTCTTTGTCATGCTGACTATAAGAGATGATCTCCCGGGCCATACGTCGATGAGCAAGCACAGTCTTCTTGATGCTCAGAGTGAGTTTTTCTGGAAAGCTCGGTCCGGAGCGGGCTGGTGGCTTAAAGAGGCAGCATCGGGTTGAACTCTTCTAACAAAGCTCTGATGAAACTCGCCCTGACACTCTTTCTTCCGTCTGCTGCCCGAAGCACTGGTCCACAAAGCCTGTTTCATCGCAGCCGGGACGTTCTGCTTCACAACTTCGTACTTGTACGCAGAGAGCATCTCCAGAAGTTCTATCAGTCTCGCAGAGACGCTGAAGCTGGGAGCTTTGTGCAGGCTCCCGAGAGGAAGCTTTCGAACACAAGCCCGGAAGTCAGCTGGGGCACAGGAGTGGCTCTTTTCAAACTTGCCCGGATTGAGGCACCGCATCGAAGGCCACGGAGCAACAGGAGAAGGCCTCACGGCGGCATGTAGCAGTGATACAATGTGGAATGTGCATGGTCCCCAGGCGAAGAAGGTCGCCGAGAAGGTCTCCGAGAAGTCGGAGAAGGTCTCGGAGCCGAAACCCAAGAGGAAAATGGAGCGTCAGGCGCGGAGAGTGGCAGAGCCACATCCGGCGGAACAAGTAACTTTCAGTGCCTTTTTCAGGCAGAGTCCCGAGCTCCAAACGGCCGGACGCCGGGAGAGCGTCGTGTGAGGTTCAAGCAAAAGAGGAAGCCCGCAGAAAGCCAAGGCGCCACGAAGGCGTCACCTGCAGAGGCGGTGGAAGCTCTTAGAGAAGCCAAGGCTCCGGATGTGCGGGTTTCCAAAGTTGGATCGGACACGATGGGGATTCGAGCGTGTGCATGGCAGGCGAATGAGAAGGCACGAAGCCAGTGGCTTAAAGAGGGGAGGGGCGCGCGCGCGGCGCAGGTTGCTTGTGACATGCCTTGGCATCCGAGGACCGGGACCCAAAGCGAAGCTTTGTCCTTCCAAGGTCGCGGGGCTCGGGCTCAGGGGGTGCTCTGGACTCTGGGCTGGCGCTCGGCTGATTACGGTGGCAGGTTCTCGAAGAAAGGGGCTCAGGCCAAAATGGTCCGGCGGCCGACCTAGGCCGGGGAGCCACCAGGACAGGAGTCAGAAACACCTTGGCCTTCACCCGACAGGCAAAGAGAAAGAGGCTAGTCTTAAAGTTGACAGTCAAGAGGCGCATCCCGCCCGTCTCTCCTTTCCGGTCGGCATGGGCACGTGATGAAGTTTCAGGTGGTGGCGGAGATGTGCACTTCATGTGCGCAAACGGGAGTGCAGTCCGATCCTCTTCCCCCTCGTGCCTTGTTCGACTCAGAAGGGTCGCGTCTGCTTAGGTCCGATCTTCCAAAAGACGTGCATTTTGAACTGTGCCGGGCTGAGCTTTTATCCCCCGCCGAGACGGGCACTGACGGATGCATCAAGGTTCCGCGTTGAATCTGTCTGCTTGAAATCTGCCTCGAGAAGTCATCTGGAAAGCTCCCGTGCAGGCCTTCCCCGTCTCCGCTGTACAAGGCAGCAATTGCTGCCGGGTTCCCAGGGGCCACGTGTGGAGTAAGAGCGTGTCAGTATGTGTTTTGTGGTGTGCATGCTTGCGAGAGCTGAGGTTATCAAGGCAAGTGCTGTTGAAGCCGCCGTAGAGGTTGAAGGGAAAAGTTTCATGCAGTCGCGACCTCAGGCCGTTGCCTCCAGTGGAAGATGATTCACACACTAGGACTAGGTGCCAAGTCAAAACGAATCCTGCGAGCTCGGCTGCCACAAGACTGGACTTGAGTAGAATGTATATATGCATATATATATATATACACACACACACATCGCTGAGAAGTGCATGCTGTGCTTGAATATAGGTGTAAATGCAGGCAAATCAACCATGTGGCCAGGGGGCCTCACACACCCCTTATGCCCTGGCGAAGAAGAGCAACTTTCACCTCCCCTGCAAAGCCCCAATCCTAGCGGCCGGAAAGCTTAGCTCGCCCCCTTGTACTGGCGACGAAGAGAAACATCTACATTGTATGTTACCTGTATGCGTGTATGTATGGATGGATGGATGGATAGATGGATGGATGGGTCGATGCATGGATGTGAGCGTGCATGTTTGCACGGATTGCTGAACGGATGCGTGCATGGATGGAGGGTCTTTGCAGATTGATGAAGGGATGGATGGCTGGATGGATGGATGGATGAATGGATGGATGTAATTACATCAAGCAGACAGGTCCCAACGAGCGTGTACGGTGATTCACAGGAATGGCCAGTACACCGATGACATACATCCGCACTGTCAGTGCAACTGTGGGGACACGGACATAGTGCAATTGGTTCAGACTGATACATCAATCCATACATGATGTTGTCGTAGCTTGAGAATCGTATGCTGCACGTATCTGTTCACGACCGTGTACGAAGGTGGGGCTTGAAAACGTGTTGTTGTTTCAGCGTTCCGTGCACGGCCAGTACGGGTAGTGAAGAGACAACCAGAAAAGTTGATTTTCGTGGAAAGTGGGATGTTGTAAGTTGTAGTTGTGAGTTGCTGGACTGATTCTCCTTCGCCGGAGCCCTTAACCAGCAGATTGGTGGTGTCACTGCTAGTCTTCTTTGCTCCTCTTCCAGCTTTTGCCGAAGCACCCTTGGATCTCAGCGATTCAAAAGATCAAGTGTGTCCTGCTTACACTGCGTTGCATTCGCGTGGGCACGAGGGCATTCTAAGGCTTTGGCTGAGCGATGCGGGAATCGGCTGTTTTCCTGTGAGAAGAACCGAGGTCAAGCTGCTTGGACAATGCTGGGATAAGCATGGAGTGTAAAATACGGCGGTGCTTCAGTCAAGACATAAAATTGCAGAATTTAATACACTACTGCACTGTATGTCCAGTCGATGTTCTTACAGACTTCGCAATTCAGGCAGATGATGTGTCATGCTTGTGCGACCAACATGGCTAAGTTACTGCTGCCATTTTGCTGTCCCCGAGGTCGACAACTACAGTGATGCTGGAGGACGTTTTTCGCTGAAAGCTGCTTAGCCGTCGTTGCAAGCATCGAATCGAGCTACGGAGGAGTTTGAAGGTTCCACGGAGGGCAGCATTGCTCCCAATGACGACGACACGGCCCAGAGTGAGAGCGAGGCCGGGATTTCTGCCATATTTCATTATTCAACGGGACTTTTTGGTCGGCGAGTGCATACTATGACCAGGACCCCCTGAGCTATCTGAGTCCCACGCACCCCACAAATCGCAACGATCCTGTCCAGGACTGCGACAACCGCGGATCCTTGAGGCTTGTTTGAGTGTCGGTGAGTTGGGTCGGAAGTTCGGGATGCTTCGAGCACCTGGTCCCTGAGCTTGTCAAGCTTGTGGCAGCTGAGGGCGAATACTGCAGCTGCTGCGGCCGCTATCCTGGCCGCTGTGCCCTCAGAGCTTGGATTTGTTTGCGCGACGAATTCAGCTTGTAGCCGAAGGGTGTCTTCTTTCAGATTGAGAAATTCCGTGTTCCAGCAAAGAAGAGGTCTAGATGAATCAGAAGCCACGGCGATGCCACAGCTATCCATCTGACAATGCCAGCTGAAACCTTTCTTGCTTGAGGCCGCTACAGACAAGCGAGCTGCTGCACTTGAGCTGCTCGATGCCGTGTCCCTACATACCATCCTCGGCGAATGGTGTATGGAGTTTTCGGATTCCTGTCTTTTCGAAGCTAGATACCCGACAGGCTGCTGCCATGCCGACAATCGAAGTGCGGACGTTCCTCTCTGAGCCGGACATGGAGGCCCTCCTCTTATCCTCCCAGCTCCCTCCGTCGCATTGGGCCCTTGCGACTGCCAGGCTCCAGTCATGAGGAGAACGGTGAGCGACAGTGACCTCGCTCGTGCGCGGCCGAGCTTGTATGGCAGCGGGCTAGTACTGCCCCGTTGCATCCCACCCCATCCTTCGACTCTTCGCTTTCCTCCTTGCTTCCCTGGCTGCCAAGTCTACTGCTGAGCCGACCTGAGCGGTCGTCAAGGTGAGATGGAAATTGGGTTGCCTAAAGCGGCACTCAATCAGCGAAGTGTAAGCGGCAGTGTGCTTGCTTTCTTTCGGCGAGGGCCCCCAAGTCCCCAATCTCCTGTGAGAAGCTTCCGCAAACTTCGCTGAGTTTCTGCATGATGCCCTATGCGCACACATCCCTGTGCATCTTAAACTCGATTTGCTTCACCCATTTTGGCAAGGCAACCTTTGCCCACTTGGGTTATATAACATGTCGGCACCTTGAAGAGTGGAGTCCGAATTGGCTTCACTATGCAGCTAGGCTGCAACTTCCTGTTTGAAATTGTGGCGGGGTCTTCCTGCCACCTGCCTTTCCAGTCAAGTCTATGTGCAAGCTACGCTGAACGATGTTATCCCCAAAGAAAACCAAGTGTGTTTGACAATCCACGACCCTTGGACCATAAACAGACTAACGGATACACTTTTGGCGACAAGACCGCAGAAGTTGTGGCCCGCTGTTCAGTTTTGCCTGGCAGGCCTTCTGCCACCGTGCGGGAGTTCGATTCAGGCAGTTCGAAGATTTGACCTCTGGGTCCTTTGGTGGTTTGGCAAAGTGAACTCCCTCTGTGGCCCACAGATTCTTTCCTACGTGAGAATTTCAAGGCGTTGCACGCGGCAGTGTTTCGGCGGTCATTTCTCCCCGGATCCTTGGCGAGTTACTTGCGGGAGCGGGAATGAACCAATCGCAGGTGTCCTAGGAAAAGATCGGGGCCCCCCGACTAGAGTCCGAGATGCATCTTCCGCCCCCGTGTCCTTCGGCTAGCGACTCCTTGAGTCCTGTGGTGCGAGCCCATCTTCAGAGCAGCCGATTTCCGAGACTGAGCAGGGTTGGCTCTTTGAAACCATTCCTTGCTCGGAGCGAAGCATGCCGCCTTTGCAGCAGGAAGCAAAAACCGTGGCAGCTCCCGGAAGTTGTTCCATCTCTTGGGTCGGAGGGTTTGGGGTTTCAACTTGTTTGAAGTGCATCAAGGAAAAGGCGATCTGCACCTGGGGGTCCATGTCGGAGGCTAGCACAGCACGGAGGCATCAGGCTTGCTTGCACCTCTGTCTTTGAAGCCTTCTCTCAAGCAGAAGGCTAGCTGTAGAGAACAATCTGCAATGTGTAGAGTCGAGATTTCCCGAAACTGAATCGTTTTGCATGTGCATGTTGGCCAGATGACGCATGTGACAAGGAGACATTGCAGCAGCATACGAACATCTTTCCACTTCCATGTTCGTCCTCAATTGCTGCGCAGCTTCAAGGGCAGAGAAGGCGTCTGGTTCAGGGGCTAGAATCCAAAGACTGTCACTAAATTCCTAAACCCATGAACTCCTAAGTAGTCCCAGTCCTAAACCGCGAGACTCAAAACTAAACCCTCGAGCCTGTGCAGAGGCGAAGGAGAGCGTCTTTGACAAGTTGCTCCTGGATGGCTTCTCTCAGGTTGCGAGCAAGGGATTGCTGTGCCGCACCGAGCTCTCAAAGCCCCAAACCGGCCCAAGCCCTCCACGAAGCCCTATAGGGCCTAGACCCCAAGGCGCTCGCAGACCTCCAGCATCGTTCGCCGGACTGTCGAGGCGCACTTTGTAAAGCCCCTTTCCGTGTCTTTTTGCAGGTCCCGACTTCATCAGCTTGAGAGTTTCATGTCGGCCAAGTTCGAGCTAGGGCCCATAAAGAGTGCAGGGGCTTGAAACGTGCATCATGCGCGACATCCTGAAAGCCTATAGGGTTTGCTCTCCACGTAGAATGAACTGGCTTGTGGCAGACGCTAGCTTTCGGGTTTCAGCCCCTCTCCCCCTGTGCCTCACCACCACTGCCGCAGCATGCCACAGCTGCTCCTGGTATTACTTCAACTGCAAACGCTCGGCCGGTCAGTAGTTCTCGCCGTGCTGCAACGGTGTTTGCGCGATGGCTGGCAACGAGTGCAATGCTAGCAGTTCGTGATGTTACTAATGTTAGCAGTCTGGCAGAACGCGCAGCAGACCCAGCGTGCCCCGACATACCGATCACCATGGCTGTAATGGTAAGGTTAGAGGGACAATCGCAAGCGTCTCTTTGGCAGGGGAATCTCGGACTGGTTCTGTCCCACTCCCCGGATCATTTCGCGAAGAAGCGGCAAATGACGGGTCGGGCCCCCAATGGGAAGTTTTCTCATGATCTCGCCTTGCCAGGATGCTGCGTCATAACGCATGAACACTTCGAGATGTCCTGCTCCACATATCTGATGGTAGCTAGCAGCATCTAGTTTTGTGCAGCCCGTGTGTCCAGGGTGGCAGTGCTGAGGGTTTAGGGACTGGGGCCGTTTTTGGTCAGGCTTATTTGGCTATGTTTTCGGGATTCCAGGCACGCACAGTTTTTCAATTACAGTGTGTGTGAGAATCAGCTCCTAGAGTCTAGAGGTTGCTTGTCGTCTTGGTATATGGATGGCCGAGACAGACGGCTGTCAACTGCTTCGAGCTTGTTTTGGGGAGAGCACGGAATTGGAGTCCTGGACCAGCCACGAACTAGACTCACAGAGTATTGCAGCGCGGGTAAGCGCGATTCCTGCGACACACAGTCTCGCAGCTTCAGGTGGCGACAAACAGGTGGTGATGTCTGCTGATCCGGAGGCCTTCACGGGCTGGCATGATGTTTCCTGCTCTTACAATTGCGCACCTTCAGAGATCAAGCACATGAAACAGCCAGAGAAGGACGATAGCAATGCAAGCAGCCAAGGCCAGCAGCAACAACCGCAGCAGCGGCAGCAACAGCAGCAACAGCAGCAACCGCAGCAACAGCGACAGGGACAGCAACAACACCAACACCAGCACCAACAGCAACTGCAACTGGAGCTGCAGTAGTGACTTCTGAAGTCGCTGCTGGCAACCCACTTTATGCATCATGCGGTGTTTCTTATGTAGGTGGGACGCGCCGCTGGGCTTTGCACGGCTCTTTGTCTTCTTGACTCTCACTATAATAACAATGGTCATCGTCGTCGTCGTCGTCATCACCATGTTCTTAGAGCCTTCTTCTTCTTAGCATATCGTCATCCCGTTCATCTTCTTCATCGTCATATTATATCGTCATCATCTCCCTCGTCAGCGCAGTCATCGTGTTCGGTCATGATCATGGTCAACCATTCACTAGCATCCTTCTCCTACCATGCTCCTACTCTTCCTCCTGCGCCTCGTCCTCGTCCTCCTCCTTGTCCTCCTCCTCCTTGTCCTCCTCCCCTTCCTCCTCCTCCTTCTTCTCCTCCTGCTCCCCCGCGTCATCATCAGTCATTTCAGAATTGATCTTCCGTTTCCTGGCCTCCTCTGTTGCTTTTCAGGCATTCAACTTCAACAAGGTCCCTTCGGACGAGCTCGTTGGGGTGCCTCGCCGTGCTTGGTGGCCCGATCTTTGACATGTCTCCTGGCGAAGCTCTTGAGGTCGAGGACTCTTCTGACTTTGCAGTGAGTGCAGCGGCCACAGAGCGGTGCCCGAACGCGGCGCGCTGTTGCGATGCAGCTCCAGTTTTGGATGCTACCAGTAGCCGCTAGCCCCTCAGGTCCTCGCATGCGGCTCCCCGCTAGCGATCGGTCACATGCCGCGAGCCCAGTGGAGCCCGGTCACTGGGTGAGCGAGCTCCGGTTGAGCTGAGGTTGCTAGTGCCACGGAGGGATGCGGCTGCTCCACAGGCCCAACTGGAGCCGTCGCGAGCCATATAGCCGTGGCCTCGAAGCACAGCTTCTCGAAGAGCGGATTTCCGCAGGTGCTGACGACGGAGCTCCTGCGTTGCGGGCTGGACCTCGTCGGCAAGTCTTGGAGGAGAGACTTCCGGCTCCTCTTCAACTCAATGCACTGCACCCAGAGCGCCAGAAGAGAGTTTCGTCTCGGGCCTCTCTGAGTTTTGAGGTTGGGCTTTGCTTCGGTGAACCACTTCCACTACCATGGCCTCTACTTGGAGTACTGTGGCTTTAATCAAAGGCTCGCAGAGGGCTGTTGTTCGCTGGGCTCATCTGATGCCCCATGGCAGAGGCAGTTCCCTGTGGAGCGCGTGGAGCGTTCCACCGTGGGCGGTGGCAGAACATACGGTCCGGAGTGGTTGAGCAGTTGAGCATCTCAGCTGAGGTAGACTCAGAGCATGTTTTATCGTGTAGCATGGAAGGCAAGCTCTGTGTTGAGCTCCTGGCAGAGTCACAGTGGTACTGTCGGGGATTCGCCCCGATCTCAGCTTGCCTTCGCTGGCGTTTGCTTGGGTCCGGTCATAGAAATCGCTCCCAGGTTCTCACAGCTGGCTCTGCGATCGGTGCGGTCGGCGACCCCCCACCTGCAGACCTCGAGGCAGCGACCGTGCGGTGTAGGGTGGGCGCCGCTTCAATCTGTCCTTGAGGCCTTGGCTACTTTCGCCGGAAACGTGATCGGACTTTTGCAGTCGAGGAGCCAGCCGTCAACTGCAACCTTCGTGACTACACGAATCGGCTCCTGGCAGGAATATCCCTCACAACGCCTCGGACTCGGCCGCAGCTGCTCACAGCTGCCCAGGCTTGCTAGCCGCTAGCCTATGCGTATGGCCAATGAAGTGTTGAGGTCATGATCACGCCATACCAGGGCGAGCGGAAGTCAAGGCCCCCTTGGACTGCCATGTTGACTTTTCCGCTCTGGCTGAAGTCTGACCCAAACCCGCTGCCCAAGCCGCTGCTCGAAACCGGCAAGTAACCTTCAGGAACTTCGATGACATCTTTGCAGAAGAGACCTGGATGCCGCTGGCAGCATCGCCCGAGGCCAGCCGCACATTCATGCAATGCCAGTTTATGATCTTGATCGTCCCTGTCGTCATGATAATCACGTCATCATCATCGCCGTTGCCCGATTGTCGTCGTCGTCGTCGTCCTCGTCGTCGTCCTCGTCGTCGTGAAGCATGTTGACGATTATGCAGCCAGGCCAGTGCATCCAGACAACACCCACCCCCGATGATGATGGTGGGTTGTCGTTGCAGGTGCTGTTGCTGCTGCTGTTACTGGTGTTTGCTGCTGTTGCTGCTGTTGCTGCTGTTTGCTGCTGTTGCTTGCTGTTGGGGTTGGCTTTGGTTTTGTGGTTGCTGCTGCGGTTGCTGTTGTGGTTGTCTGTCGTTCGTGGTGTTGTGGTTTGTTGTTTGCTGTTTGTTCTTTGTTGTTTGTTGCTTGTTGCTGGTTTGTGGTTTGGTGTTTGTTGTTGTCCAGGACACAAAGCGTTCAGAGGCATTTCGAAACAAACTCTAAAGGCTGCGAAGGTTCCTCGGTCACCAGAAGTTCAGTGAATTTCGTCAACTGGCCCAGCCACGTTCTTCTACCGGCTGGACTTCCCTAGACATACCATGGAGATTGCGATGGAGAGTCATCGTCTAAGTCCCGCCCTGAACGCTAATGTGTTACGTTGTTTTTCTGGCTGTCATGCCTTATTTAGTGTCGTTGTAATTGTAGTTGTCATCATCTTAGTCTTCATTTGCACTGGCTACTGCAGCTGGCTGCTGTTGTAGATGGTGCTGCTTTAGAATTCGTCATCTGGTGAAGACGCAATTTCCAAGACTCCGCGAGGTCTACATCTTCCCAAGGCGGCCAGAGGGCAAGCTCAGATCCTTGCAGGAACATGTAAGAACCGAAGCGACATAGTTCTGACAATCAAACCAAGCTTGCTCCTTGGTGAGTCTTGAACTGTGTGCTGATTGAAGTTGTCTGTGCTTCTTGATTCGAGTAACCGCAAAAACAGCTAGAGCTGTCTCTGTCAAACTTATGTCTCCTTCCTCCTGTTTGCTGCTGCTTCTCCTTGTCGTCCTCTTCCTCACAGTGCTGCCCCGCTCCTGCTCCAACTGCAGCTGCTGTGTCATGATCGGCTGTCGTCTGCCAGGGGGACTCGTGAGGACACCATCCGAATGGATCCTCCTGAAGCCCTCGCAGAAACAATTAATTACAAGTGCCCGGCCCCGCAGTCACCCGAATGGATCCCGCGAAGCCGTGCAATGAACAAGTACGGCTACGACGACTGCTATACTACGATTACGACTGACAGTACGACTGTGGGTTGTGACCACGACACTGACTGCGACTACGGCTACAGCTACCGCCGCTATCGTTGAATACCGAATGAAAAGACAGTGTTGCGACCAATGAGCCACTCATCCGCCGATCCAGCCTTCCCTTATCTCGTTGGAGTTTGCAAACTCGACGGGGACACAGCGCAAAGCCAGGAAGCGCAACTACGAAGCTGCAGAGCAGTTCCTTCTAGGGTTTGGGAGTTGCGAATTTAGGGTTTAGGGCTTTTTGGGTTTAGGGTTTGCCAGCAGCATCTGCGTTTATGCGTTGGGGTGGCCAAGTTCCGTTTAGGGTTAGGATTTGCAGCATATTCTTGCCAACCAGCAGCTCAAGGGGTTTAGGGCAGTTTTGGGGAGTCTCGGGTTTGCCAACCGAGATTTTGTTTAGGGTCTAGGGGTTGCCAACCAAAGCCTTCATTATTAATCCGACTGGGGTTCAGGGTTCCTAAACCAATGTCTCCTTTGGGGTTTCCGTTGACATACATAGTACAAGTAGTTATACTTATGTAGTTGTTCGTGTGCTGCATGCAGTGGCTGTTCAGTATGTTGAGTACGGAGCGGTCTTGCCTTTTCATTGCAATCGTGTAGTTGGTCTGCTAGCACTACCCAGGCTTCACGGCTGCCTCGATTTCTGTGCTACTATTTTTCGTTGGCCATGCTGTAGCAGCTGCTGCTTGTACGGCTGACCTGTTTCAACATGTTCCAAATCGCAGTCAGAATCATAGTTCAGCAGCAAGGCATGTCTCCTTGAGCCTAGGAGAGGATAGTGGTCTCAATGCTGCCATCTGCGAGATCTCCGGGCTAATCATGTGTCACGATGCCGGGCGCCCACGACCTTCTCATGGCCCTGACATGATAAGCGATGCTGCATGTGGAAGATGCAGCTTTCCTGTTTTCAGGAAGACCGTTTCCAGCAGTTTGATGAGGATAAAGTTTCGAACCTCTTCAAGGAGGATGCTGCAGTGTGTTGCAAATCTTTAAGTAGCCTCGCTCTCACAACTGCATGGCTTCTCCAGGATGTGTCGCTTTCTGGCGACGACTTCGATGATCTAATTTGCAAGGCCGTTCATCTTGGTATTGGGTCCTGTCTGCAGAGAACGGAACGCCCTGCAGTCCAAGATTTGACAGGTGGCGTGGATGGTTTCTTGAGCAGGTGGTTTTCCGCGTGCAGCCCCCACCTTTGAACAGGGGGCTGTCCTGCGGACTTCCCCCGAGATCTCTTCGGGTCCTCGCCGAAATCGCAGTTATTGATTGCATTGCCGTGCATGCACAAAAAAGGGGATCTCCGACAGTCTGACAGCTTGCATCCGGATTGTGGGATGTTTGTGTTTCATCCAGCTCTTTCTTGAGCTTTAATGGCGCATCCTTCAGCACACTTCGGAGACGATCGCACCACGCAGATAACAACGCCAACCATGCAGACCACAGGAGGAACACATAACATCACACAGTAGAGCCTCCAGCGCTGTTCGACATGGCGGGCACAGGCCTCAAGTTGAGTGATTGGTCTCCCATCGAAGCTTGAGCAGGCTGCTGTTCGTTTACGGTTTGCAGCTGGTGTTGACATCATCAGTTGCTCATCTGTTTCATGAGTGTCTAGCCTCTAAGCTAGGAGGCAGCCTTTGCTGCGGCAGGTGCCGATTCAGGTTCGCCCGCAGCGCTTTCCTGAGCTTCCCAGCATTCGGTTTTGTGAGTGCTTCTTCTGCTATGTAAGCTTTTTCTGCGGTTCGGTGTTAAGGCCGGCAAGTGGCGAATACTTGCAGGAGCCAGCGACTCAAGCTAGAAGCAGCTGCATCGATCTCGACAGGTCTGCAGTGAGAGGTTGTGTCGGAAGCCGGCTGCAGCTGATAAATAACTTGACTTGCTTGTGTCAGATGTTGCTGCCTTTTACTGGAGGTCAGCGTCGTCTCAACCTCTGTCGCACTGTATGTTCGGTGCCGCACCTGTGGTTTGTGCGTACGTACGTCAATGGCACGCCATACGGCCCACTCCGCAAACCATCCCAGGTTTCATCACCTTCTCACAGTCGCGAGCTTGCGTAGGACCGGGCCAACACGCGATGTGCTGCTCGACTTCTCCCGCGCTCCCTCCCTCCCTGCCTACCTCCCTTCTCGCTCTCGCTCTCGCTCTCGCTCTCGCTCTCGCTCTCGCTCTCGCTCTGGCTCTCGCTCTCGCTCTCGCTCTCGCTCTCGCTCTCTCTCTCTCTCTCTCTCTCTCTCTCTCTCTCTCTCTGTCTCTCTCTCTCTCTCTCTCTGTGTCTCTGTCTCTGTCTCTGTCTCTCTCTCTTGCTCTCTCTGTCGCTCGCTCTTGGCTTGTACACGTGCATATACATGTGGAAGTGCAGCTTTACAGGCAGGTATGCAATGCATGCGTGCATGTACATAAACCCGGATGCAGATGCAGATGTGGATCTGCATGCGCATGTACAATATGAATATACATATACATATACATACTAGACTATACAGTGTACGGCTGGATATGTACAAGTAGTACACACGCACATGCACGTATGATGAAAATGGTATGCACGCGATCAAAGGCGTACAGAAACAAAGGCAGACTGACACTCGCATCTGACAGGCAAGCGCGCATGCACACACAGATCCGCCACCAGCGCCAACACCAACAGCAACCGCAACCGCATCCTCCACCGCCACCGCGACCGCGACCGCGACCGCGACCGCAACGGCAACAACAACGGGAACGGCAACAACAACAGAATCAGCAACAAAAACCACAACAACGACACCAACAGCAGCAACAACAGCAGCAATAGCAACAAAGAAGAACAAGACGGCACCACCACCACCACCGCCACCACCGCCGCCACCACCACCACCACCACCACCACCACCACCACCACCACCACCACCACCACCACCACCACCACCACCACCACCACCACCACCACCACCACCACCACCACCACCACCACGAAAATCTGTTGCAATGTGCGACATGATCCGTCCCGATATCTGCGTTTGCTGTGGCCGCTTCGTTGGACCATCGCACACACAGCAAGCCGATTGTCCCATTGCTGAAATCGACTTTCACGATGATTTCTCATGACATCGTTTGTTAGAGCAACATCCCGGGTGGAATCGACCCCGCAGAGTGGCTTTCAGCGTGCAACAACAGCAGCAGCAACGGCAGTGGCAACGACAACGCCATCAGCGCCAGCAGCAGCAGCAGCAGCAGCGGCAGCAGCAGCAGCTGCCACAACATCACACTAGAATCTGTCGATGCTCTGATTGATGAGCTGGTTGGTCAGAACAAAAAATGTGGTGCTGTGATGTGGCTGATGGAGACAGATGGCTGCTTTCCCTGATTGGGGTTCACTGTGCAATCTGGATGCCACGAGGGCCCATCCTGTTTCAGCAAGTCCAGCTGATCACGCTGGGTGGGCTCTGTAGCTTCCTTATGAATCCAAACTGGCAGCCGCCGGATCAAAGCATCACCGAAGGGGAGCAGCGCGAAACCGGAGATTCAGGAAATGAATTTCAGAAGGATGCGTCGGCCGAACCGGAAAGTCGGTCGGAGCTTCAGAGATTATGATTTGGGGTTTAGGGCATGGGACGTTTTCGGGTTTGAAGCTTAAAGTTTGGGACTCAGGGCTTAGTTTAGGGTCAAGGTGATTTTGCCTAACTGTTTGACTTGTGTTCCAGTGTTTTGCGAGTTTGTCTTGCTTCAAGTTTCCCGTGCTTCTGAAGCCTCCATGAGGCATCATCATGGGGCACTTGGTTCACCCAATGGCTGGGTAAGTAAGTCAGCAAGTATGTATGTATGCATACATGCATATGTGTATGTGTGGGTATGTGTATGTATGTCCGCATGTATGTATGTATGTATGTATGTATGCATGATCATTGTACAGACGCGCACTCACAAACATTTTTCATTTACATGAAAAGCACGTAGATTCGTAGGTACGTAGCGGGCCCTGTTGTTTTCCCAGGTGCAGCTCGGCTTTAGTGCGGTTGGGCTGGGTTTGGTTTAGCTCGCCAAGCAAAGCCACACCGAACCTAGTCGCACCAAATGCCGAGACGCAGCGAAGAAAAGCAAACCGTTCTGCCGTAGATAGCTGGATGATCGGATGGATTCATGGCTGGATAGCCGGATGCATGTACATATACATATAACATTCTCGGATGCAAAGATCCACGCATTTATGCAAGACTCCGACAGACGAGCCACGGGAACACCTGTCTTCTGGGTGTCTGCCGTCTCCACGAAGAGCTCACCGAAGCACAGGAATCATGACTTCATCACGATGCTGGTGGATCAAAATCCAGTCCTAGCCCCGCTTTGCTATGCCAGGTGCTCGAGCAGTAGGCTGATGCTTCATTCCGGGTTCCTGCTTTGCCGCTCGCTGAGATCGCAGTCCTGGTTGCCGTGATCGGGATCACCTGTCCAGGTTAGAGTTTGCTTGCTGGGTTGGTCCGAACAACCTTGCTTCCACATCGACTGCATTCTTCGTTCGGCTAACCTGACAGGTGCGACGATGCTCAGCTTCCTCGGCGGGGTCTTGTTTAAACAGCCGCAGTCTCAGACTTGAAGTAGCAGTTTTGCAAGCAGAAAATGCGTTGAGCAGGCCCTATGCCAGCGCTTACGCATATTGCGGTTACATTGCAGGGCACCGAGTGCCGAGCTTTACCGTTTACCAAAACACTACTGCCTTGTCTGATGCTCTCAGATCGGTGCGACGATATCATACTTTGTCACGACCTTCGTGTTGGGAGACTACATGTGCGTGCCTGAAGGGGGCTTCTGCAGCGACGGCACCCTTTCTGTCTTTGAAAAGGCGGAAGCGCCTGGCTGCCAACTCTCAGCTTTACCAGAAATTCGAGGCATGCAGGACTCTTTCGAGTGGACCGGGCGTGTTTCAGATACCCGACCAGGCCAACGTGCGTCGGAAGCTTAGCATTAGGCCAAGCAGGTCACAGGATGCCACAGGGCCAGGGAGTCTTAGATTCGGCTCCCAGACCCGACTCTGCCAGAGCCCCGGGCCCCCGGGTTCGAGCAGGTCGCAATGCTTTCGCCTACCTCGTGGCCGCTCGCTACACAATGGTCTGGGAAGCCCAGAGATGGAGATGCGGACAAAGCGAGACGGCTTTCTTCGGTTTGGACCATCCAGGTCTTCCCATTTTTCTTCGTGAACGGTGCAGCTGCACTGGTAGGAGTTCGATGCAGGCGCCCGCCTTTATAGCCTTCATTAATCCTTTCAGGTAGAAGGGGACGGGAAAGGACCTTCATCGCTGCAACTTCTGTGAGCTGCATCCCCGGGTCGGTGTTGCCCCCGGTGGTTTCTCAGAACAGCCGGGACGGCTGTCGCCCATAACCTCTGACTCTGAGGTCATCTACACCACAGCCGGCGGCGCGCTGGCGAACTTGTTGCACAAGATGACCGACGATGAGGACCGGAGCGAGTTGCTGGAGAGGCTCCGACTTCCCGTTCCGCGATCATCAGGAGCTGGACAAGACACAGCTAATCTGGGCGGCACTCAGCGACCCGAACGTCAAAATATGCATGGCCGGTGTCACATGCGCCCTTATTGCCGGGGCCCGAACCAGCAAAGGACAGAGGAATCTGCTATCACTGCCATCGTGTGAGAAGTTTACAAAGAGGTGGTTGCTATCATCCAGCTCACCCAGTCTGATGAAGAGAAGGCATCAAAGGGCCCTGCTCTCAACATACAGTCGACCAAGACATGCCCTTTCTGCAGTGACGACCGAGCCGGTGAGGTGAGTAGTGCACTGGAGCTTCCGGCCCTTCGGTGCTGCATAGAGTGAAGGGCTGTGAGGCCAAAGATCGGTGTCAGGGAGGGGACCACGACAGGCCGCTCCATTTTTGGAGCGCCGAGTGCCATGGAATTCGGAGACGAACAAAGCTTTCGCACAGAGCCCGGCGCCTGTGCCTCTCGGGAGAGTGCAGAGCCCACGATCTGTTTTCCCGACTGCACGGCCTCGCAGGAGCTTCGGGTTGCAGTGCATCCCTGAACTCCAAACTCGCATGAGGCCTCTCCAGTCTGGGAGAGAGAACCGTGGCGGGGTACAGAGCCTTCAGTGCGAAAAGAATTGTTTTACAGTAGCCCACATTTGCAGTCAGCTCTTTGCACCGACGGGGGTCTGAATAGATCCTACTGGCACCGAGGCAGCTCCTTGCAATTGATGTGGCTCAAAGTTGCATGCTTTGGGGCACGCCAGCATGAGGCACTAGATGAGCTGCAGTGCATGCACACGGATGTGGACAGTCTCATTAGCGGCTCAGTCGATGTTGATCTCAGGAGGACCAACACATCCTTTTTGTTAGCAGGACCGCCTCCGCAGCATAACGTCCGTCTACACATGGACCGCCATCATCTGCGGATGCCGTTGACGAGGCGACTGCAAGCAATGGTGGGCCTATGAAAGTCTCAGTCTCGCGAACCAGGGCGAGGTTATTGTGCATTCGCGGCACGACAACATGGGGCAACATGTTTCGATTCCGGGGCCGAGCGAGCCGAGTCCCAGCGGCGGCCGTTAGAATCCGCGTCGCAAAGCCTGGAATGAAAGGTCTGTGAGGGTTTTTTCGGTTTGTAGGGCGTTTTGGTCCAGGCCCTGGAGTTTGATGAAAGCGAGCCGTGGCAGCGAGTCTCGGACGCAGATGCGGAGACCTGCGGGGGAGTACGAAGCTCAAAGGAACTCGTGCTTTCAGCGGCGCACGTTTCCTTCCTGACACAGCGAAACAGCTGCCAGGTATTGATTTCAAGGTCAAGATGTTGGTTTGAACATGCGCAGTTCTCCAGGGCTGGGGCAGCAAGCCCTTTCCGGGTCGCTTTTGAAAGGACTTGGAAACCTCTTCTAGGTAAGCGGCGGCTTTGAGGCTTTTCAGATTTTGATTTCGCGGCTTCAGGGTGAAGCCTCCGAAGGAGCAGAATGCGTCAACACGCCTGGCATTCCTGGTGGTCGACCGTGCTCGGATGTTGCGCCGCTCAGGCACAGGCAAAAATGCCATTGCAACCCTTAAGCGGGTGTGGAATAAGCCCGGTGCTCACATGCCCTGTTGTCGGCAGTGTGAGACAATTTGGTGCAGAGGGTATGCGTGACGAAAGTATCAACAAGGAATGCAATTTTGGAGGGAAACAGCCGTTGATTAGGAGATTGGCAATAGAATATGCTGGTGGCGTCCACACCAGCCTGAAGCATAACTTACACATTCACATACTGTCACGCAGTGTCGTTGAGAACTGCGCCCGCATTGATATGTACCAGTAGGTTCCGAGAAGATCATCATGGCTATTGACCCTAACGCACACTGGCGCATCGAGAGTTCTGGGACCTGCGAGGCCTACTCTGCTTGGCAGCGCCGCTAGTGGCGTCCAAGCTGGTGCAAGCTGCTGGCTCTTTCGGATCCTCCAAAGACGTGTCCAAGCCAGCGACTTGGCTTAGCTCGAGGCCAAGGTTCCCGTTGCCGTTGGAGCCACAAGATGACAAGATAAGTGGCCCACTGCGGTGCGACTTGAGAGTGCAGTGCAGCAGAGGCGGCCGCCAAACCATGCAACCCTGACATCATACTACCCACCGCGCATCACAACCATCATCAACAATCCGGCTCCTGCTAGAGCTCCTCCTCGTCATCATCATCTTTTTCATATTCAGAATCATCATCGTTATCCTCCTCCTCCTCCTCCTGCTCCTCCTTTTCCTCCTCCTTCTCTGTGCCGGCGCCGTCGTGATGTCAGCATCCTCGTCATCATCACCATTCCTCCACCATCGTTATCGCCATCGCCATCAACATCATCAACATCGTCATCATCATCACCACCATCAAACCATCACCGCCACCATCATTATCATCATACTGGTTTTCCTGCCCCTCGTCACAGCATGATCAAGACTGTTCTACGTCAGTGCCGAAACCCAAAGCCGTTTTCAACAGAAGCGTTCCTGCACCCCTCGCAGACAGCACCCGCCCAGGCCGCTGCTCAAAGCGTTGTTGCTTTCCGTGGAAGTTGTTATGATGTCATCTATGACGAGACTGCGACCCATATGGCAAAGTTTGCAGTTTGGACTTGTAAGTTTAGGGCTTCTGGCCAAGATCCGTCCGAACCTACAGCTCAGGAGAAGGGTGGACCGCAAGATCTCGGTCGCCTCGTCGTGTGCCCCTATGGCTCGCCAGCGACAGGTGCCCAGACTTGTCACGGTGATTGGGACTTGCCTGGATCGTTCATGTGATTCGCTTTGACGGTTGAAGAGGAGAGACATGGCCAGCACCACGAATCATGTTGGGTGTAACACGAAAATTTGCAGTCGTAGTTTATGATCCTCTCGACTGTCACGGGTACTCGTACCAGACTACAACTTCTGCTATTGTAGTTGTTACTAGTAGTCGTAGTATTGACGGTGGTAGTAGTAGTGGTGGTAGTGGTACTACAAGTACTACTACTGCGAATGCGACGGCGACGACGACTACTACTGATGGTTCTTGTACAGTGGGGCTTGTCTTCAGGTGTTCAGCTTTTGGCAATGAATGCTGATTGGATTGAGTGGACGAGTCGAATGCTATGGTGAGGTTGCAGCGAAAGGTGTATGCATTGCGCCGTGCCGCAGTGCCAGTGTTATCCTCGAAGTTGATTCGCGGAATAATGTTTCGTTAATCGCAGTAGTGGTCGTTGTGGCAGTAAAAGTGGCATTCGCTTTGCACGGAACGTTGGTTGTGGTTCGAAGGGCCCTCAGGGCCCTTTATCGGCCTTGGCTTGCGTTGGACATCTGGGCTGTAGCCGCGACGATTGCGGTGCCAACTGTTCCCCAGATTGCTAGTTCTAGATTTGACTGCAACATTGGCTCTCGGAGAACTCGCATAATGTCGACTCGCAAGCAGATGCACAGCACTGTTCGCCTAGAGTAACGTCCCCCACCTCCAAGCAGGCTTCCAATGGTGGTAAGCTCCCAGGTGACGTCGCTGAGTGCTTGGATCAGGTGAACCGCATAGCTGCCGAGCGAATCAAGAAGGACGGCCTCATTCGAGAAACAGGGCCTGCGTGCAACAGGTGGACAAGTTGGTAATTGACAGATTGCCTAGTCCATCCTAGTCCCCCGTCCAAACTGTGCTCAGGACATCGTGGTCCTGCTGGATTTCACCGATTTCGTGCGACTCGGCAAGAAGTGCAGGCTTTTGCAGGCGCGACCCCAGCTGGCAAGTTCGGTCCGTGCAGCTTGGAGTCGAGGTGGCCTTCGCCGATAATGGCATACAGCTGCTTCTTTCCGATCATTCGGGAGCGATTGCCAGCGGAGGACGGCCGGACTGTTGCTACTTCAGTCGACTCTGGCCTGTTTCAACGATTCAACAGTAGATGCAGGAAATCCTTTTGCAGATTCGAGTGCCGACACTGGGACCAGACAGAGCCCTGTAGTTGCCAAAACTTTGGGCAGTCGAGACGGACGAAAGCTCTCACGAGTCCTGTGTTAACAAAATGGCAGATGGCGCAGACACAACGGCCGTCAGCACGCGGAAGGAAGTGACTCTTGCCAGCCTCTCATGCTTCACCTTCAAGAGCAGCACCTGTCAAGATCAAAGCCTCTCTTGGTTCTCAACGAACGAAAGCAAGTGCAGATGAAACTGACTGCCCAAGCGCGGAGACTCACATCAGCAGAAGGCTTCAAGCGATTCGGCCTTATGCCCAACTCTGGCCTACCAAAGCACAGTCCTCCCAGAGAAGCGCTCTAGGAGGACTGCAGTCAGAATGCAGGAGCTCCGAGAGAAGACCCAGGCCTTTGCAATCGTGCAGAAGGAGCGCTTCTGGATTCGTCCTGTGGAAGCTCGGTCAAAGTCGGATCGTGATCAAAATACAGACCTCGACAAGCCTACTGCAGCCAACAGAAGGTACAGAAGATCAAATTCGATAGTCTCGCTTCAGAGCACGTGCAAGCCCGTCTTGGTGTCCGTAGCCGTAGCAGTCCGTGCTGGCAGCTATGCAAAGCCAAGTGCCAAGTGCACAACACGCAACCTGCACAGCCTGCACTATGAAGAGACGGTGAAGCATCTGAGGGAGCGAGAGCAGCAGTGGTTGTGACATCTTGAGCCCGGAAAAAGCAGCAGCACAGGCTGCAGTGAAGCCTTAATTGGTCGCCTTGGTCATGATGGACTAACTACCGACTACCACAAGCAGAGCAGCTAAGGTGGATGCTGTGCTCCTCATGGCGCAGCCAGAGACAGCTCCAATCTTTGCTCAGGCCCACATCCTCAGTGGTTTGCGACTTGCTGCTCGAGGTGATTTTCTGTACGTTAAGCTTCAGCGGAGCCTATGTTTCCCACCTGTATTCCTTGCTGCGCACATCCTTCAGGACCGCCACGAGGCCTCCGATCTCATCTCAAAGCGCTTTGAGAGCCATGCGGCAAAGTCTGTGCCATTGATGGTTTAGGCTTCAGATGCGGGGCGATGCTCCCAGGAAGGTCTGCTGTTAGAGGGTCATAATTAAGGCTCTGCACGTTCACTCTTTTTTGGGGCCCTTTCGTTGGGTCCGGAAGAGGAGCCGGGAGACTTCCTGGCCCTTCTCGATCCCCTTCAATTTTGTAAGCTGCGAATTCATTGCAATCGAGCCTGCGCGCGCGTTAGGATTGTTGCAAGTTGCGGTTCAGGTAGGGATCTGTATATGTCAAGCGAAGTCTCCGTACATCTGAGGGAACCATAACATGGAACAACCTCCACCTGTGTACAGACTGCGCATGGCGAACTTGGAGCTAACAGAGCGTGCAAATCGGCGGTACCCGTCTCGTTGTCTTCAAGTCTTCCTCTTTTGTTGGGGCCACGCAGGAAGTGTTCGAGGTCTTTTAGTGATCGTGACCTCACACGCGTCCCGACATCATCTTCCAGAAACGCCCGGCATGCATGGCCCATTGGTTTTAACCAAGCGCTGATGCCTCTGCCAAGGGCTGGAGTGCCGCAGCCCTTGTTGCTAAAAAGGGGGCGTGAGCTCACTGTTCGGGGTTTGTTGGCATGGCAGAGTGGCAGGGGTAGGCTCTATAGCTTGGAAAGCCTGGCAAATCGGTTTCATTCAAGCTCGCTCGCCGTTCAGGGACTGTTCGCTCCGGTGCAGAAAGCTCGCAACGGGAAAGCAGCCATTGGCTCAAAACCTGCTGCCTGAAGATTTCCTGCCAAGGCGCGATGGAGAGAGGCTGCGGCTCTGGCTCGAGCATTTTCACTCCTGTCGCTGAGATGCCCATCACCGCAGAGCAGTTCGCGACCACTTTGGAGAACATGACCCGAGCTTGGGAGGCATGATCCGTCAAAGGAGGGGGCGAGGAGAAGCGTTTCTGCATCGAGTTGAGATTTGGAGCTAGTCGGAGACTTGTGACCTCCTCGATTTCCACGGTTGCGGAGATTCAGAACACTGCACAATGCAAGAGGTTCTCTGTGTCTCTGCGTGCGTGTCTGTACATTTGCACAGAGGGCTCAGTCTGGAAAACTCACTCGTTGTGATACCCATGGCTCAGATGCATCTATATCTGCCAAAGGAAGTGAGTTAGGGTCTGTGGAGCCTGACCCTTGTCAAGAAATAGCACATGAAGAGAGGTGTCAGTCTCCTCTTGTCCTGCTCGTCGAGGCTCTGCCGGAAGAGCAGCGGCTCCCGAAGGACGAAGAGAAGTCCTTCTTCGACGATTGCCAGCAGACGCAGCACGGCATGAGACCAGCTTCCAAAGCGCTCAGTGATAGTCCCGTTTGAGAGATCCCCCGAGGTGCGAGGAAATGATCGCCAGATGGCATTCCGGAGAGTCTTCCCATCCAGACCGAGAGATTCTCGCGGCGGAGTGCGCTGCGAACAGCGAACGCTGATATTGGGCTCCGACTGGGTCTGGGGCCCAACATGCCAAATGCCAGGTACCCGGATTCGGAGGCTGGAAAGCGGAAGCTTCAGCTGGACTTGTTCAGCCCCGACGTGAAGGACGATCCCTTCGTGGGGTGCCAAGCACGGGGGGATTCGCCCCCAGCGAAGCTAAGAAGCTCTGGGCCTGTCTGCGTCTGCGTCGGATAAGGTCCAGGCAGCCGATCTGAAGCTGCGGCTAATCAAGCCCGGGCCCGAGCTTAAATCATATGCTCATTCAGCCCGACTTAGACTCTAGACTCTAGACCTGCAAGACTCTTAAACCTTGGCGCCTGCAGGTACACCGCACCTCCCAGACAGAAGAACATCTGAGCAAAGGCAGTAAGTGCCTAGTCCGCTGCGGTGGCCGGGGGCGGCATGAGAGTCCTAGGCACACTGGAAGCCGCCTCAGCCAAACGCGCGGGTGTTCAAGTCTCACAAGCCACAAGTTTATGATGAAGGGGTCCTCGAATCCTTCATGCTCACAGGCAGAAGGTGCACCCAATCTGGGTGGCCGCGGAAGTGCCGAAGACTGCATTCGCGCCTCTGAGTAAAATCGCCTCCGATCTTCAGCTGTGGTGTGCCGCATGGCCAGCTTTTTCGTTGCGCCGCCGCCTTACATGCAGTTCTTCAAGGGCAGAAACTTTCCATCCCGAGAAGCGATCTTGGAGTGTCCTTGCCCAAACGCAGCTGGTCCCATGTCGCCCGACAGCACGGCAAGAGCTGCGCTCGGAAACGGACGACAACATATCCGAAACAGTTGCCGCAGAGACGGTTTCAGATAGACTTGGCTCCACCACGCCCTTCGCCTCCACTGCTGGAGGC